TCAGGCCCACAAAAAGACAAATGTAATCATAAAATTAGCTAAAATAATGCAGAGTGGCTTTTTGGACATCAGTTAAATGTGCTTTTCTCCATGACTGATGGAAAGGTTTAGGGAAGGATATGGTAAACAGCCATGAGCTATATGCCATTGTGTTAGCTTGTTGGTCTCGGACAATAAAAAAACATAAATGAGAAATCATTTTAAGTATATCCTTTTAGTAAAACTAGCTTTTATTACGATATAGTCTAATTTAATTTAGCTCTAACCACAAACTCTTACTCACTATAATGTCTTAGTCTGTGGTTGTATTATTACTGAATGAACAAATGCATCTACACACATAAACAGTGTTCTAAACATACGGTGATACTACAAAATGATTATCTGTAGAGATCTGTAACTTATGTCAAAGCATATTGCCCGACCCTACCCAGTTCTTTGTTCTCAACATTAGCCAATTATTCATTTATAAACTCAGCAAATTAGACAACTTGATGTTCTGACAGCTCCAGGCTTGTACCTTATGGATTTTCAGCCTCTTCGCTGCAGTATCTTCCTTGAATAAATTTTTTTCTCATCTTTATTATGATAGATGATGTGGTTAATTTCTCTGGAGTTAATCAGACAATGTGAGTGATTGTTGTTGTGAAAGCTTGGTCTGTTTGACTGCGACATAACATTCAGAGCCAGCTTGATCCTCCTATGATTGTGCCCGCTCATTGACATGATAGAATTGTACAGCTGAAGAAACCTTGCACATTTATATTTAATCTCCCAACTCTCATTCTTAATGCATGAGGAGAATGGGAGACCCCCTAAACCCCCCCACGCCCCCCACAACTCAGCCCGCTGGGAGAGGGAAAGAGGGGGATTAGAGCAGGATTAAGTCTGGTGTGAATGGGAGCCACGAGACCGCCACAATTATTCACTTCCCCCATCCCTCCATCGCCCGACCTCCCCCTTCCATCTATCTCTCTCATGTACACTCACACAAACACATGAACTCTCTGTCTGTCCTTGCCCTATTTAATTCCTCAGCACCTCCAAAACACACCCTTGTGAGGAACTTTGTCTCACATATCTAACCTTAATCTTATCTCTTAAGTCTTTTTCTTAGTTGGGAAATAAATCCAGCGAAGTAAGCATGAACTGAATGAATTGCACGATTAGATTAGGACTTGCTAAGAAAGAGGAATCAGAACCACAGACTGATTCAGATTTATTATTAAATGCAGCATGTGAATTTGTTGCCGGTGCCAATAAAATTACAGGGTTGTTTTAGACTTACTCATCGTGAAACAAGAAAGCCAAGTAGAACCAGATTAATGTATTAAACTGCCAATTTGATCTGCCAATTATCTGCCTGTATTAGTTAGACACACATTTATAGGACAAGGTGTTGAAAAATGTGGAAAACAATTTAAATTTAATGCAGAAAAAAGTTCTTGACATAATTGCCATCAGTACTCATAGTTAATGCTTAACAGCCTGCGAGTAAGCAGACTAGCATGTCACAACTGGCGGGTTGAATCTAATCTGAATATTAACAGACTGTTAATGGACCACTAATTTACGAGCGACTCTCCTGGTTGTTTGGCAACAGGTTCAGGTGAAACAATAGTCCTATACATAATACCCAATTTACCCGTTTAACACTTCGGATTTTGTACGGATTAAACGTAGGAAATATAGCGTATTAGTGAGCTTCAGAGGTGCTGGTAATTTTAACAAAAATGGTCACTTTGAAACGGAAATTTCAAACTTGCAGCCAATGGAAATGTTGCTGCTGGATTTCCAAAGTTCTTGTTTCACCAACTTTTCTCAGACTTTGATGAGCTTGATGAGATAAAGGTCTCGCTGTTCAATCACCTGCCATGTTTGAGTCCTGATCGACTCAGCAGTTTGACACATTAACTTCTGTCTCAATGTATGTGGATTTGGGTAAATGTATTAAATGGATGAAGGGTGGGAGCTTCATCATCGCTACCTTATAACCGCTCCATCACACAGAAATCAATAAGTATTTACCTGTAATGAAATGAGCAATTACTCTCTGTCCCCCCCACTCGCTGTTTCTGTCACAACACAACAAACTAGTAGCAAGGAGTGTTGGTCAGCCTTAAGCATCGGGGATGAGAGTAGAGAATTATACTTGTTTATATGTGTGATTTAGTCAATAACACCAACAGTCTAGGATTAGGTGTTGCCTGCAGTTCAATAAGTGAAACACACAGTGCATTACCCTGCCGTACCTAATGTGGAAATGGATTGCACTTAAATACTCTTTCAATCACACTAAAACTAATGTCAGAGACCGGTGAGTAAGTATGCATGTGTGAATGTTACAGTGTTACACATTTAAGTGTTGCTAATAGGCACTATTATCATTGCAATATGTGAGTGACAGAGGGACCCAGAATATATTAATAATTTAGTGATACACTACATTAATATAGGAGTATGTGAGATGGAGAAATAAGGCAGCAGATGCATTAATTGTTTACAGTTTATACATGCTAAACTTTAGTTTTACAGGGAAGCATTTTCAGATTGTGTGTGTGTACTGTATGCGAGCACGTGTCCATACTTTTCGCACAAATAAAAAAAAAAAATAATAATAATAATAAAGGCAAAGAGTGTGCCAAATAAAGGCAACAGGCAAATGACACTAATAATAACAACAATACAGGTACATTTAGGCACACAATCATCCATAAAATTCATGAAAACGACGATGATATCGGAAAGAAAAACATATTCAGTCATATAGTCTACTTTAAATATTTGTTTCTGTTTGATTTTCTAATACTGTTTAGTACATTAAGAAGCCCTGTACATACATGTTTGTTTTTTGGTTAGTCTTGGATCTAGGCATATCTAATTGCCATCTATCTAGAAGGATAGAGTGAGTGATGTAGGGCACACTAAAGTCCCTAATGTTGTGTAAATCTGGCCTACATAAATTCTTTAAATTGAGTGTTCCCTTTTAAAATGCCGCACATTAAGAACAAGCTATTGAACTTCTTAAACTCCACCCCTCAATACTATGTATCCCTGTGGGTTTGGGGAGGCGGGGGTGGGGAGGTTAAGTGCTTCTGGGGTCGTACAGTACAACCAACCTATTAGGAGAGAGTACTGAGGGGGCAGCACCCCCAGACTCAACGTCTTTAATATTACATGTTGGCACCATGGTTCTTCGTAGCCGCAGCCAGCTTCCAATCTTCAGTTTGATCTGCTGTGGCTTTGCATGTTGGTGTGAGCGTTTAAGTGAGTGTTTATGTGTGTGTTCGGACGGCCAGCGCTGTCCGGCGATGGAGGAGGTTTGCTGTAGGTTTGCTCGTTGTCGCAGGAGGACTTCTTCTCTCACCCTGACACTGCCCAGATCCAAACTGGTAAGACTTGAGAATAAGAGGTTAGGTTTTGAGGGGGCACCGAGTACATTTGTCCACCTGCCCAGGAAATACAAATGTAGCTACCTCGCTTTATAATCCCATTTTTAACTTCCTCAATCAGTGTCTAAATACTGTTTGCAGTGGCAACCTTTGTAGAAATACCTCTTTTTGTTATTCTTTCATCTTCATCTAAGATTGGGGGGAAGAAGTATTATAGAGTGGAATCTCTCCAACCTTATGTTAATGAATTCTGGAGTAAAACCTGGACTTGGCCTTTGGTTAAGCTGCTTGTACAAACTGGATAAAGTTTCCTCATTATGTCAGCTGTTTAGAGATGGAGTATGTGTCCAGCCTTGCGGGGCTTCTGAATCTTTCAACTTTGCATCTCTGAATCAATCAGTTTATCAATTGGGGATGGAAAGGTTCCTTTACTGTAACTTGGTGCAATGCTTCATATTGAACTTGTAAAATGTAAATTGAAGACTTCTAACTAGGATTAACAGAAACAGTCACTTCATAATAGTCTCTCTAAAACTAAAACATTCAAACCCTGTCTCACTCTCCCTCTGTTTATATAGTTTTTCAACTCACTTAAAGCTTAAGCAACAGGCTTAATGGTTAAACTTTGTAAGTAGTTAACATTACAAAAATGAGGGTAATATGTGGGTTTGTTGGTGCTTGCGGTGATTCTATGTTTAAGGCATGCTGTGAAGTTGTGTGACAGTAGTTTAAAGGCTACACGTTGATCTGGTGAACCGTTTTATGTCTCTGTGACGGTTTTTGTCAGTTGGAGTTTACAAGTTGTCCTCATGTGAAAATACCCAACCCCCACACGGGTTTTTCAGAAGTCAGTCAGTTGGTTGCTTGACTGACAACTGTGTGTCATTCTGAATCTGAGGGGTTTCTTTGAGAACGAGCTTGTAGCAACTCAGATTTTGGAGCGTACAATCTTTGGAAAAGGTGATCAAATAGAAACAAATGCATTTTGTTTGTTTCGATGCTCATACTTTTCCTTGCGCAAATTGTCTTCTTATCCTGAAGTAAAGTGCGTTTGTGTTAATTTTGTTAATATATACCAACAACAACATATAAGCTGTCTGCATAAAAGAGAGCCAACCATGTCATTCTAATAAGAATTCACAGATTTATAGTTTTGTTAAGGTCACTCAAAATATAAAACCAGCCTCCCACCTCCAACCCCGCTCTGTCCATCAGAAATCATATCAACCTCCTTGGATCATAATTTACAGCCGTCTGAAGGGTCTTCAGCTCCATCCTCTTCATGTTAATTATGTTGGAGTAGAGCATGTCAGACAGTGCCAAACCAGCTTTGGCTTTCAGACTGATGAAACTTGTGTGTGTGTGTGTGTGTGTCTGTGTCTGTGTCTGTGTCTGTGTCTGTGTCTGTGTGTGTGTGTGTGTGTGTGTGTGTGTGTGTGTCTGTGTCTGTGTCTGTGTCTGTGTGTGCCCGTGCGTGTGTTTGCCCGTGCGTGTGTGCGCCCGTGCGTGTGTGTGTATTTGTAAGCTTGCATGTTTGCCTCTGTTGAACTCATATCCTCTCTGTTTTTTCTCCGCTGTCTCTCCACCACTTCCTGTCTGTCTCAAAAGCTTCCTGCTGACCTCAATAAGATGCACCTAACAGACCACGCCCATCAGCAGGTGATGCACATGCCTCCCAGCCAATCAGGATGCAGCATCGCCAGTGACTCGGGAAGTAGCAGCCTATCAGATATTTACCAGGTGGGTACCGCAAATCTTTTTTTTTTTTTTTCCAATTTTTTAAAAATGACAAACTTTTTTTTCACAAATGTTTGGGGTTTTATACAAATGAGGGACAACATTAAGATCATGATACATTGATGATCTCCTGAAGCTGCAGTTCTACTATCCCAGTTTGTACATTTTTCATTTGAAGTTTATTGAAAAACATCAAAATATAGAGAATCCAGATGTAAATGCTTCATCATTTTGTTCAACTACCTCTTTAATTTAGGTTTTGGAAGATCTATATAGTTTTTCTCTTACCTACCACCATTATTACATTACATACAAAAAATAATGAAGATTGTGCGTAGACCTTTCACCGTCACACTATGATAACATCTGGTCTGTAGCAAAAGTGTTTTACTGAGTGTGGGTTCTCCCCAGCTTGATTTGCTCCAATTCTGTCTGTCTACCTGTAGCATATCCATTCTCTACCCTCCCTCCTTGTAACCCTCAGTATCTCACTAATTATTGTGCATCACTTATGTGTCCTGGTGATCCGTCACCTTCTTAAACTTCCTGCTGGGGACGAAAGGTCACATGCAGGAAATTAACCTAACAGTTCAAGCTCTGTCTATCGTGTGCCACAGGTATAGAAGCTGTCACATCATCAGTGTAGTTGGGTTTCTAACAATCATTTTGCAAGTATTCCTTTGGTATGCTTCCATAGGTAGTATGCAGTGAAGAGAGTATGACATCCAGTGTACATCAGTTAAGCACATGATGTCGTACATGATGTTCAATTTAGATTTCCCTAAACAGGAATGTCCTTGAGCATGGGACCTAATCTCAATATTGTAATTTAAAAGTATTATGTCAGACCAGGAGGTCTTTATATTTTATTCTCTACTCTTGTATCAGAGTGTGCTTTGAAATTAAACTCCTCTCTTTACTGTAGGCTATTTAAACGGCAATAATCCATAAAAGGGTACATGATAGGGTTGTCATCTCATCATTTTAATCCCTCTGATCTCCTAATCTCCCCTCTTTACACAGAAAGTCGTGATAAATCCAAGAACCTTTCGACATTACCTTTCAGCCTTGACCCTTCCTCACAGGGTGCTGCAGCATTTCAGTTTGCTGCTCCTCTTCACAACTACATGCCGTATTCTTCATACATGTTTGTGTATGTGGCTAGGGAGGGGTTCCATTTGACACCATCTTGCTAGCATTGTTAGCATTCATCAGTGGAACTGGTAAGGTCCGTTAGCTACAAACTAATCAGCTATTTACAAGTTAATGAGCTGGTATGATCAATGGGCACTGCTGGCCACAAAACTAATGAGCAGGTCCATTTTAGAGAGGAATGTTAACAGTGCTAATATAAAAAGTGCCCGTATAAAGTTTTTTATTTTATTCACATTTTAGCAAATAAAGGGTGAGAAATACAGTACCTTCATTCACCTATAGCCACCATGTCAAACTAATTTGGCGGCCTAAATCTGTATTAAAAATGCATGTAATCGGATTATGTTGTCCATTTAACATGGTTTTCCCCCAACAAAACTTTGAACAAAGGAAAAAATAGGAGAAAGTAATATGGAACAGACTTAAAGAGGGTGATGCACAACTGAGTTATTAGGGAATATTTACTAAATTTCCAGAAAATGACCATCATGGCTGCCCTAGTTATCTCGAGCGTACTAGTGCAAGAACTATGGAATTCATTTGTTATTGTCAGCAGACTTTCACAAAGTCACCTGTTCTCAATAGAGAACAGACAAAAGTGACATAATTCACATATTTTAACTTCCTTATATGTCACAAGCTGTCCTCTCTCCTCAGCCTGTCTGCGAAGCGCTTGCAGATTGATGTAAGTCAAGTCAACCCAGGTCCGACGTTTAACACCTGAGATCTGATCTCTGCATTCTCAGATTAGATATTAATCACACGGATCTGATCCTATCAGCTCATCGCTGACCCAGCTCTGTGTTTGTTTACAGCTGTCTTAAAGCAGTGACCCTCCAGTCAGCTGTGGTCCTCAGCTGTCAATGCAACAGACTGTTTATGTTATGGCTTGAGAATTGCTCGAAAATGAGTGTAAGCAGTCCCCCCACCACCACTCTCTTTTATACCTTGACCTAATCCACAGTCATTCACTTGACTCCTTCTTTTCTGCCTCTTCCTGTTCTTCTCATATTTCTCCACTATGCCCTTTCCCTTCTTAACATCCCTCTGCTCTCAGTCACCTTTTATTCTTCTATTATTCTATATCCCTCTCACGTCATCCTATTCTTTCCTCTGCTTTTACTTTCTTTCTCTTGGCTATATCCTGAAATTCTGGTGCATTCCTCTTTCTTTTTTGTCTCTTTCCTGTGTCCGTTATTATGACACAGCACTGTAAAATGTGGGGGTTCTTGGGCAGATCTGATATCCCTCATCTCTAGAAAATGTCCTCCTGGCTCAAACACGTTCTGGTACCAGGGGACTTGGACTGAAAGAGCACATCTAGCATTCTGAATGAATTTGGCCTCTCAAAAGCACTGAAAGATATGTCAATGGCAGAGCGTGAAAAGTTATTGTCAGGATTGCACCACTGTTCTTTGCTACTAAATTAATGCCTCAATTTTCCAACAAAGTTTAAATTTAAGGCCAGACATAATTATTAATAATAAGCTCCATATTTAATTCCTCCATTATAAAAAGCACCACTGTATTTTGGGCCTTTGTCTTGTTCTGCTGGCCTGAGAAATAAAACAAAACAAAAGTCCTCCAGGAATCAATAATTGAGAGGTGAAGCAAAATGTAAAAAATATTTTTACACTGCAGATCAATGTGCAGGACAAGCTGCTGTTGAGATATTTGATTTGAGTGTCTGCTGTGCTACTTAATAAATATGGAGTATTTATCCCTGCATGACATTTCCCTATGAGATGCTTTTTGTTCTGCAGTTCCCGACAGAATAGGATGTGCATCTTGCGCCACAAAGTCCAATTCATTAAATCATTACATGTCGTCCTGTCTCATTTATTATTGGTGTCAAAGAAAATAAAGTCAGGATTAACATTGCATTTGGGATTTGGGATTTTTTTTTCACTCTTGCTTGTCTCTTCTCATCTATTAGTCTAAATTAAATGTATCTGGTGTAGAACAGGGCAGTGCTGAGCAGCTGGTGTGTTTTAAAAAAGTCCTCTAAATAGCTTGTCCAACCTAATTTATGAAAACAAGAGTGGACCTGTGCCTGAACTTGGGATGGACTGTTAGCTTAATCCCCTTGCCTCAGAGAAACCTATAAAACGCTTTGGCCAGGTACCAAATCTCTATAGAACCCGAGAGCTCGATTGCATTGTTGTTTAGGGAGTCCATCTTGTATAGGGCAGAAAATTAACTTTTTCCCACCAGCTTCATCCGTTAAAATCAGTCAAATCTACTCCACTCCTCTAAACTGATGACTACCAAAATGCAAGTTTATTGGTGCCTTGGAGATAATGTCGGCCTTAATTTAGACTTGAACTCATTTTATTCCATGATGACCACATCTGGACATTCTTACACATAAAAAACAATATAATCATATAATCACATTGATCTCCAGTCAAATATATAGTACAGTAGTAGTCTTGAAAACGCATAACACCAGTCCTCCTTATCAGCATACCATTTTACAAAAAATAATAATTTCTAAAAGCACAGACAGAAACAGTTTTCCCAATTTTTCTATACAATTCCCTTTGTCTTTAGGCCCACCTGCAGGAGCTAACAGATGGCCTGCAGTGCTGCCACTACCACTAGAGAGCTCCTATTTTCACCTCTAGGTTGATGGTTCAATTCCCACCTGACCTGAAAGCCCCTATGCCCCTTTAGAACCATACTCTGCCAACCAATCTGTCTGCCCCACCCTGGGAAAATATGGTGGAATATAAATTATTACTGCTGGATTTAAATATTTGGCTGTTTGCCTCTGTTTTTCAGTTTGGGACTTGGCGTCAGGGTGTTAACTCAGGGTCGCAGGTACAGCTGCTCATTCCAAGGTTATTCTTCATGTTTTGTGTGGATGAAACAGACTGAAAGTAAAGTGGAAATGGAATGGCGTTGTGAAGTTAGGGGGAGTATTTCTTCCAGTAGAGTTACTTACTCTACTGGTAGACATATATAATTGTAGTGAATACACTTAAACCTCATTTTAACATGCTTTAAATCATGTCACAGTATTGTGCAGCCTGAAACTGAATACCACTTTCTTAAACTGATGCACTATTTCAAGGCCTGCAATGGTCATTGTACACGTCACTGCTCCAATACTCATTTCTAGGTCACATTACTACTTGAACGGAGTAATTGAAGCTTCAGTCAGGCTTTTTGAGTCAAGCAAGTTTAATCCTAAAGCAAATTAAACCCATTTTAAAATGATTGTCCTGAAAATCCATGAAAGTTTTTTTCATATTTAACACATAAAAAGCTGATTTTCTCAAGTTGAGTTACTATGAAAGAATTCTCTACTCTCTTTGCTCCAGGCCACAGAAAGCGAACTGGGAGATGTGGACCTGTCTGGACTTCCAGAGGCTGCAGTGGACAGTGAGGAAGAGGAGGAAGAAGATGAGGACCTGGAGAGAGCTTCAGATACTCTTCTGGGCCGAGACCTGGTCCGAGAGTGTCTGGAAAAAGACCCAGCTGATCGCAACGACGATGACATTGGTCAGTGTTTTCTATCTAATGTGTCTTAATGTTCGCTTTAAATAGTATTTAGAATTTAATAAAATTGCTTGAGAATTTTATTTCTTGCTTGTGTATAATTACCTAGTTAGTGGCACACTTAATTCAATAAAATGTATTTAATTGTAATGAAACGAGGCACTGAAACCATCACCCTTGAGGACTGCCAGTTGCTATTTTTAGACTTCATGTACACATCCCTCAGAGACACCATCTATCATTCAATAAGCACAGGGGGGCTACACAAATGCCTCTCTCACAAAAAAAAACCCCTCACAGTGGTATCTAAATACCAGTGCCCTTCCAGTGTGTATTTTTAAGCAGGCAATCAGAGAGACGGCCTCATTAGCGGGACCCAGTGGGGTCCTGGAGGAGAAGGTGACCACATCAGAGAGCTGAGTGGAGTTGTAAAGGCCCAGCCTGCTGTGTGCCTGCTGGGAGGCTGGCCTTCTCATGGCCTTCACCACTGACTGGTTGCACTCATTCAGAGGAAAGATGCTGTAGAGAGGAGTTGAGGGGAGGAGGCATTTAAAGGTCCAGTGTAAGGTTGGGCGATATGTTCATATTTTCCAACCAGCCCTGAGTCCAACAATCAACAATTGCCGATATATTTGCGTATGCATGTGTGCTGCCACTGTAGTTTCTCCTACACACTTGGAAGCCAAATATTACTCAGTTGTTTGCAATCTGCAACTTCACTGCTAGATGTCACTAATTCCTACACAATAGTCCTTTCACCCAAGTTAAACTCTGGCTCATATAGTATCTGAAATGCATGAATAAATTAATACATTTTTATAAAGTTCACTTTAGTTCAGTTTTGCAAATTTGACACCTATATACTGTACTGTATACTGTACCACATCAGAATATTGTCAACTCATAGTATTATAAACATAAACATAGACATAACTGAATCTAAAGTTTGTGATTCTCTGATTCTCATCTGACAAACGTCCAACCATCTGGCACTTTTAACTGTGACTGTTTAAAAGGTTTTTTAAAGACCAAAGGCAAGGGGGACAAAGAGAAAGGCAGAAAGAGAGGAAATGAATGAGGCGATAACTGCAGGGGGAATAAAAGGGAGCTACTGAGCCAGGCAACATAGTGTGCAGAGTGGAGCTGGGTTACTCTGTTCTCTGCCACAGTGCAGAGGAAGTAGACAAAGATCAGTAGGGAAGGAACAGGGAGTGCAAGTTTCTCATTAGCCATGAAAATCTTAAGCACTGGTGGTATGCACAGTATGGTTACTGTGATCTGTGTGTGTGTGTGTGTGTGTGTGTGTATTATTATAATTTTGGATTACTGAGTAGGGTTTGCTTGCAGTAGGGGCCATTTAAAACTGTACAATTTGTGTAAGAAATGCTGCATTTTTTCAGGGGAAAATCAATAAGTGTTTTACCCGCACACTTGAGATGCATTGCTTTGAATACATAAGTTAGATCAATAAATGCTCTTTGCATGTTTTTGTATGGAGTCTATGTTGTGTTTTGTGTTTTTTTTCTTCTATTTAATTACTTCCTTCTTTCCCCTCTTCCTTTTTGTGCCAAACAGAGCAACTACTGGAGTTCATGCACCAGTTGCCAGCCTTTGCCAACATGACCATGTCTGTGCGCAGAGACTTGTGCAGCGTCATGGTGTTTGAGGTGGTGGAGCAGGCTGGCACAGTCATACTGCACAACAAACAGGAGGTATGAAAGAAATTATAACACATGCAGAAATTTGTTATCAGAAGTGTATCACAGTTACATTAAAAGGGCTCTATAAAAGGCTGAGAACATTTTGAAATTCATGTTCTGAAAGGCTTAAGAAGTATTAAGAATTTTCTTCTGTTGTAATTAGGATGTTTTATGTTGTTTCCGTCTTGTGCGCCATTTCCCATGTAACTTAATCACTAACAGGGTGATTATGATATGCAAAATACATATGTTTTTTTTTTTTATTATATCTGCTTCATTAACACAATTACACTGAATTTCCTTAACACAGAAGGGACACAGTGTTTGCTGTTTGGCTGAATTTTTAATTGTGTTGTTAATATAATCACAATTAAAAGATCTTAAATGTGTCTTTAATGGCCAGCAAAACAGTCACGTAACCTTCTAAAAAGCACACAAAAATACACACAAGCATGAAGGGAGTTGTAGTAGGTCAGCATGGGTGAAAATGCAAAATCATCTAAAATGGAAAATAAAGAAAAGACGCAAGAAACAGCACACAAAAATGCACATGGTACGTGAAGTTTCCATGTGTACAGACACACACATCTTCACCATCTTCCAGTTTGTCCATAGCTAATTCACATAGAGAAAGTGGTATGTGCAAAGTCACTGCAGAGTAAAAGCCCCGTCAATCACCTGAGCTGCTACACAACTAATTAATTAAGTTACATGGCCGAGAAACGGGAGCTCTCTCATGGCTGTTTGGTTACACACAGCAGCATTAGAACAGACAGGGTGATAAATGGCAATGAACTGCCAGCCGCCAAGCTCCAGGCGGACGGAAATCCACGTCAGCAGAAGAAAACCATCCACACAAACATATACACGTATACACAAATAAAGCAGTGTGCATTGATGTCTGTGCTTCCATACCGTCTGTGTTGGGTCTAGGTGATGGACAGGTCTCCTCAGCTCTGTCTGTCTTTGTGGAAGGTCAAAGAGAAGCACTTGGCTCCTCTCACAAGTGAACACAACTCTGCTAAGTGAGAGAGAGAGAGAGAGAGAGAGAGAGAGAGAGAGAGGAAAATAAAAATTGACTAAAGTTGTCTGACAGAAGTAAAAAGAGAGGTAAAGTGCATCAGAGGACAGAAAGGGGGAAAAAATGGAAGTAGAGGGAACCAACAAGGGACGGTCAGAGTAACAGCGAGGACTGAAACCAACTGTCTTAATCAGAGTTAATCAAAGCCAAAACAAAATATGTTCGCTACATTTAATCTTTAATATTAAAACTCTATGAACATGTGGAATACACTTAATAAACAATATTTTTTTGTATTTTCTATCTTTTAAATGCACTTACATCCTTTTAGCCCCAAATAGTTCTAGATGTTCAGCGTTAGGTCTTTTGTTTTTTGATTATTATTGTACTTGAGATTGGTTTAGAATTCATATACCCTTTTGCCAGCAGAAATAACTCATCAAGAGCTTTCAGTTGAAATATAATAATATAAAACAAAATTTTGTCCAAGACGTCACTTGCCCCTCTGGTTCTCACTCCTTGATATTCTATGAGATGTGTCAAATTTATGCAAACTTTATGAAAATAGCCTCTCAAGGACTTTTGTGTTCAATATGTGGCTGATTACCTTAGCTCACCTTACTTATTACCGTTTCATCATTGCTGAGAAATAAGGTGAAGCACTGAGAGAATTGGAGATTTTCTGGGTGAGAAACAGTGAGAGAATGAGGAGGAAATACCAGTTATCAGAGAGCCCGGGGCTCGTTTGCCCTCCCTCCACTCGCTCACACCGGGGATGAATGGCTTGTTATATTATGCCTGCTAGCATTTCCTTTTCAAAAGCCACCACTAGAGACACAATACCTCTTCAGCACCATACTCATACCTCACAAACCGCACATTGTGCTCACAATATATTAAATGTCAGCTAGTAATACATAGTCATTCTTGTGCGGCTGTGTAGCGCTCTTTGAAATCTAATGATTTAAGATAACACTGTGACGTACAGTGTTTTTTGTTGATCCACAGCTTGTGTGTTCTTGCTTTTGTGCCAACCCCAGTTGTACCCTGTTACTACATAAGAGTTGAACACTGCAAGATGAATATACAGTGTATTGATTTACCTGTCGAAAAAGTGCATGAATGGAGAGCAATAAGAATATCCACAAGGCTGTGATAGTATTTGCAGTATAACTTGTGAAGATCAGAAAGTTTGATATTGTGTGTTTGATGTCTGCAGCTGGACCTCTGGTATGTTATCCTGAACGGGGCAGTCGAGATCAGCTATCCAGAGGGGAGAGTGGAGACTCTTTGCATGGGCAACAGTTTTGGCATCTCACCCTCATTGGACAAACAGTACATGAACGGAGAGGTTCGCACCAAGGGGGACGACTGCCAGGTAAAGAAGACTGATAAAGACAAAAAGGAAACATTTAATAATTACTTGCTACAAGATGTTGATCTTCCTGCCTCAATGTGGTTGGGAACTAAAGAACTGAGTTCAGTTTTCAGTTTAAAAACAAACATCTTTGCTTGCATGTTTTCAATGTGCAACGAGAAATAAGAGTATGTGGTATTGCCATTATTACCAGAACTGTCATGCATTCATAATTACAAAGGGTTGATTTTGATATGATGTACTAGATATCTTCTATCTGAATTTACCTTACTTTTATTAATGTACATTTAGAACAGAATTGTGGTTGTCAGTCACATTTCTATTGTATTTCGTCATGGAGTGGTGTATTTCTCACAGGAGTTCACAAATAGCCGATTTTTTCACAGAAGGCTGGTCTTGATATAGTGGTATGTGAGGTTAACTAGTTCATCAAGGTAAAAGAAGCCTAGCATGTACTTGTGGTTACCTCTGTTCACACTGCCCAGTTCCTCCACTGCACATAATTTCCTGTCTTCAGATACAGAGGAACTTGCCTAAGTAGGGCTTAGCAAGGCAAATGCAGAATTATTTGGTCAAGGGAAGCGCAGCGAATGACAGTGCTATAGGGTAGTGGCAAGTCATGTCTTGGCACTTTCTGTTCAGCGCGATATAACTGGAAGTTACTTTTGCTCCGGTGTCAAAATTAAAGGGAAGGATGCTTCTGCAAAATGGATAGTTGAGAGGATTTTGGACCACCATAGGTACTTATATTGAGCCTTATTTAATTGAGTTTAGTTAGTTTGAGAACTGCTCTTGTTGGACCTTCCTTCCTTCACCCATCCATCCCTCCCATGCCTCTCTTTACCCGCTCTCATGTTTCTTCTCTGCTGTTGTTTGAGTACCCAACTGTGGTGCAGAGCAGTGTTTTGCTCTACTACAAGTTCACCCGCTTGCCCCATGTCATCCTCGACCAGTTCGTCTGCATCGCCCAAGAGGACTACTGGCGTATCCTCAACCATGTGGAGAAGAACACACACAAGGTGGAAGAGGAGGGGGAGATTGTGATGGTGAAAGAGCACCGTGAGCTTGACCGCAGTGGGACCAGAAAAGGACACATTGTCATCAAGGTCAGTGATTTGAAATGCTAAAAGTGTCGGGTTGTTAGATTTTAAGGAACTGGAGTTCAACCCGGGTTTGAGAAAGCATTTTGCTGTTCTGAAGTGTCTACGGATGTTCGCCAAGTCCCCAGGTATAATGTTCTGTATATGAACCCAACCTTTGATAAAGATCAACAAAGTAGTATCTCTACAAAATGTGAATCCACTGTGGAATAGAAGGGATATAGGATGGATGGTGTTGGGGTTCAAACATAAGGTGAAGTTAGACTGGTGTTTCATCCAGAGCTCAACCTTTGTCAACTGAGTCGATACAGCAATACATTTAACCTGTCAAGGACGTATCCTAAGCAAGATGAGACAGAAGGGGTCTAACGTCCAAGGTTGAGTTGATAAGCACATTTAATTTCACTCTAAGCTTGGGTTAACATGACTAACTACTATGATAAATCATGTTATCATTCTTTGTTTTTTTCATTATTATGCACTAAATACACTGAAATACCTTGGATTGATTTAAGTACCACCTCATTATCAATCGACCATGCCCTCACATACAGTATCTTGCAAAAACGTCAATGTAACTGCTCGGTGTTCTTTAGAGGCACCGTTAGCACTATTAGTGTTTGCTGGAGCATTTTCTTGAATGCTACATTGCAAAGCGCTCCAAGGCCTTTTGATCCTTCTCCCGAGCCTCCAGAGGCAGCCAGGTATTGATCGAATAATGGGCCTGAATGATTCTCTTGGCCACTGCTCCGAGGATGGCTGTTGGCTCTAAAAACACATCTAGTAGGGATGAGTCAATTCACAAGTGTTAGCATTTCCGCTTCTGTTTTTGGCTTTGTTCTTTTTGTGTCTGACAAAAGTGGATGCCTTTCTGGTTTCTGTTCCCTGTCAAATGAATCATTTCCCCCAGAAACCTCTGCTCTGATAACATAAACAAGCTTGCTGAAACCACAGGAGTTGAGTTTACGTGTCTTGGACATTGCATATCTGCTACTTTTGAATACAAATGGAAAGATCTGGACAAAGAAAAATCAAAACTGTTATCCTAAATAATACATTTAGATTTTCTCTCATACAAATCCACGATAGAATTGATACCTCAGCAAGAAAAGCTCAAGTGAGCATGAAAGTGTGTGTATCTGTTTGTGTCTGTGTGTGTCTGTGTGTGTCTGTGTGAGTGTGCGTGAGTGTCTGCGAATGTCTTTGTTTTATTGATGGGTGACTGACAGCTCAGTTCAATAGCTGCATCTTTATAGTTTACGTCCTTGTCACTTTTATGATTAATTTCGACATCATTTATTCAAATTGGTTTGTAAACGTGCTCTTGTGCCTGCTTGCTTCAGTGTGTGTGTGTGTGTGTGTGTGTGTGTGTGTGTGTGTGTGTGTGTGTGTGTGTGTGTGTGTGTGTGTGTGTGAGTGTGAGTGTGAGAGTGTCTGTATAGATTATATGTGCCCTTGTGTCATTTCAGCTGTCTTACATGTGTATGTAGTGTGTGCTGTGTCTTTTTCTCTGTGAATCCATATGTGTGTGTATATATATTTTTCACCCCAGGGAACCCCAGAGCGTCTGATCATGCACCTGGTGGAGGAACCGTCAGTGGTGGACCCCACCTACATCGAAGACTTTCTGCTGACCTACAGGACCTTCCTGTCAAATCCCATGGAGGTCGGCAAGAAGCTACTGGAGTGGTTCCAAATGGACAGCCTCCGGGACACGGTGAGTTTGCGTACATGTGGTTGGCTTTTTTTTTTTGACATTGGTTATGTGTGTGTCTGCACAGATGAGGAGTAATAAATCGAAAGTTTGTGTGTGTGTACCAGCAAGATTTGTATGTGTGTTTGTATTTTCGAGTTTGTGTGTGTGTTTGGGTTAGAGCGGACATGAGAGGTCAAATGGGTTAGTTTGCTAGGATGCGATTGTTAAGGTTTTTCTGTGTAAGTAGATGTTACGTTAAACCTGTATATACTCATCCATTCGGTGTTATTTTATGTGTGCAGTTTTAAATGATGGTCCTTATGCTTCTATCAGCACTCGTAATGTCTTGTATTCATGCATGTTGGTAGAAATTTATGTGTTGTGCCGATCAATACAAGTTCAGCCAGCTCAGCTGTCCTTGAGCCCAGTAGCGATTTATGCATGCCTGACACTCCCATTGTCCATAACTGCTTTAACCCAAGATTAGTCTTGTACTGTCAATAGTCTTTATATGGTTGTCATTCAGGCTTATAATCTTTCAGCTCTGTTAAACAGGATCTAATCCTGTACAGAGTGAGCAAGGAGAAAGTAACAGAATGTGGGAAGAGAGGAGGAAAGATGGCGTGAGAAACGAAAGAGAGAGTGGAAAGTGGACATTGATTGATGCTCTGAGTGGATGTATCAGTTGCCGTTCTGGCCTTTTGCAAAGGTTGGAACACGGTTACCACCAGTGTAAATTTGCAGAAATAATTGTTTCCGATTGCCCTTTGCTTTAGGTTTTTCTTCTAATTATTGCGGGATAAAATTAAGAAGTCAACCAGTGGTTAAATGATTTTTTTCTGCAACCCTGCACATGGCCATTATTTAGCTTCCCTGCTGTTTCCCATGTTTTCCAAGCTAATTTAATATGATAATTATTTTTATATTTTTTTACTCCAAAAAATAAAGACCTATCCGATATAGGTAATTGGACTGGATAAAAACTACAGACATTAGAGGTGTTGAAATTAATCAAATAATCGATGCATCACGATGCAGACAAGGACGATGCTACATCGATGCAGTGGCCGACCATAATCGATTATAACGCAATGATGTCGCTCGTTAATTTTCCGAAAATTAAATTATGAAAAATAACATTCTCAGTAGCCTAACCCGTTTCATCTAGACCAGTACTTCTCAAATAGTGGGGCGCAACAGGCAGGGGGGACTGACGGGGGAGGAGAGATGGAGAAGTTTCTGACAGGAGTAAAAAGAAAAACGGAGGAGACGTCAGAGGCAAGAACAGCAAGTGACGGTAACCGGCATAAACGTAATAAGAGCAGGAAATACGACGAAGCCTACATAGCCTTTAAGTTTACCGTGAATACGGTCGGAAATGAGGAAAGACCTGTGTGTGTTTTACGTTTAAAAACTCTGGCAGCGGACAGCATGAAACCAAACAAATTAAGACGGCACCTGGAGACCTTACACCCCAGTTATGTCAATAGGCCACTGGACTTTTTTCACTGGATACTCGATGAGTTTCACCAACAGGCCGGTCATTTAGTGAGCGCGGTATCAGTAAATTAAAACGCACCGTTAGCCTCGTACAAACACCGCCACATCGCCATGTGCAAAAAACCATCACACAATAGCAGAGGAGCTAATACTCCGGCAGCATTGGACAATCATAGGTGAGAAAAGTGCTGAGACACTGAATACTGTCCCTCTTTACAATGACACGATCGGGAGACGTGTGTGTGTGTGTGTGTGCTGTCTGCTGTGTTCAGACTGTTAAATAAAAAAGATTGTTCATATCTTACTACTTATTTTTGGATGAAAACAACCATATGAAGTAATATAAAAAACTGTATTATATTGAACTATACAGTATCTTAATGCATTCCGTCAAGTCAAATATCTTATATGGCTTTAATAGAAAAATGTATTTGAAGCATCGTGATGCATCGAGGAATCGAATCGAATCGCTGATGTGATAATCGTAATCGAATCGGGAGATCAGTGACAATTCACACCTCTAACAGACATACTACGACATATTTAACATGGGCAGATTTTGACAGCATGGTAACATAGTGAGTGAGGAAAACTGCACTTAAAGCACTCATGTTCCCAAGAATTTAGCCTATTAAAGTGTCCCTGAGGCACCTATGTCCAGAGGTCCTGCATAGTAGGCGAATATGGCCTCTGACCTAACACCTACAGTATAACCACTCTGCAAGAGCACTCAATAAATGCTGTCATAGCAGCACATACACAAATGGTACAAAGGGTGAAAATAAATTATTACAAGAACTGTGTGGAAAGAAGTGTACGTTTTGTGTCTCAAGTAATAAAGCTCTCATTGTGTCTCACAGGTAACAAGAATAGTGCTGCTGTGGGTCAACAACCACTTCAATGATTTTGAAGGTGACCCGGCCATGACACACTTCCTGGAGGACTTTGAGAAACATTTAGAAGCAACGGTAAGATCAAACGTCAATCCAAACTTAGTTTTCCCTTCAGTGGACAGTCGATTTGAGCCGTAATTCATACATTTTTTATTTTGTCGCTTTTTACTTTTAAATTACAGCAAAAGTCCCCAAAGATATACCTGCAGTCCATGCCTTGTCAGAATACTAACTCAGATCAAACGATTATTGCATTACTTTTTATATTCTAAAAACAGCTGCTTTTAAATCTGCAATTTGCCAGTTGTTTTTACCTTAGGAAACAAAAGGTAATTTGAATGCAAGGCTGTTTAGACTTATAATTTTCCCATTTTCGCCTTCTTTGTCAGAAAATGAAGGGCCATTTGCGGCTACTGAACATAGCATGTGCAGCCAAGGCCAAGTGGAGGCAGATCACTCTGCAGAAGGCGTCCAGGGAGTCGCCGCTCTATTTCAGCGTGCAGGGCGGCAGTGAGAGAGGATTTGGCATCTTTGTTGAATCGGTGGAAGTAGGGAGCAAGGCTGCAGAAACCGGACTCAAACGGGGAGATCAGGTGAGAGGACACAATTTTTCAGAGTGGTTCTGCTAGATATGATGCATTGTGAGCTGAAAATTTAATATATTACATAAAATTAGACAATTAAATGTTCTATGTGATAGGATGAAATATGACATTGACATGGAATTGATGTGAAACAAGATATAGACATGTTTCATCTAAATTACAGTATGTAGATGGAAAAATCTCTGATAAAAACAGATGAAAAGTAACAGTATGTAATGTTAGGAAACAGAAAGAAAAAAGAGTGTAGAATCTTTGACCACTTGAATATTCAAGTTTTGGTGGAAAGATGTAATGAGAACAGCACATACTTGCCCCTGTAGAGTCTCACTGTGCACAAAAACCAAGTCCAAAAACTCATATATGTCAGAGATAGACTTGTAGACATTGTGAGGTGAAAGGTATTTGAAAACTGTTTCAGGTATGGTGAACAAGATTCTATAAACCTCTAGATAGAAGAGAACACTCCATATTTCAACACTCTCTGCAACGCCTCATCAGTCCTCTTTTTATTGTGGAGTCGCTAAATAAAAGCCGGACAAAAGTGGCAAAGGTATTAAAGCTGTAAAGTCCAGGTGTCCTTCAGTGCCTGGTTACAGTTAAACATTACAGTGATGACATCAGGTGATGCTTTTCAGCTACAGGAACTTGGAGAGTGGTCAGTATTCAGGGAATAGAAAATGGAACCAGATACAGTAAATGGAGGTCCTTAAAGATAACATACTTTAAAGCGAACCTGACTTCAAACTGGGGTTAAGATTCAAACACAACAACAACCTGAAGATCACAAACATTACAATACTGGAGTGGGTTCGGGAACAAACTCCAAATTTCATTCAGTGGCTCAGCTGGGAGCTTGACCTGCTCAGTTCATTCATTAAAACAGTGAAGAGGAAACTTTTCTTTGAAGATCCATCTAGACCGTCCTCAAAAAGTGTCAACTTTTACATAATTAAAAAGCTCTGACGTAGACTGCTGCAAAGTCAGGAAATCACCTTGAGTTAATAAAGGATTGCTCTGTTCTGTGGTTAAACTGTTGAATGTGGGAGCTGAGGTAACTGATTCATCAGAATTACTCTTTAAAGACTGTACTCCCCCTTTTTGTTCCTATTTATTTTCTCTGGTCTACGTCTATTTTCTATTTAGCCTTATACAGCACATTTTCTGTCTTTTTTTATATTTAAACTACAGATTCATCTCTTACAGAGGTGACTTAAAATGACTGTTCAAATCAGGCTAACCAGCAGTCACGCTGCACTGCACACTTCCCTTTTTGTGTAATTTAGAGAGTTACTGCGTAACCACATTGTTCACTCTTTGCACTTAGTAAACTGCTGATTCAAAAATAATGACAGGCGAACAAGAATACTACTAATTTGTTTCAGATTTCAGTCAAGGATAATTAACAACTTAGTTGTTTAGAGGGGAATTTAATGGGTGTTTCTTTACTCCAGACAAATCCCTGCATAGGTCCAAGCCTACCTGTGCCACTGCACTTCAGTCCTGCTATAATTTCGTCATTTCATCTGTCTTGTTTCAGATTATGGAGATCAATGGTCAGAACTTTGAGAACATCTCCGTCTCCAAAGCTGTTGACATCCTTAGAAATAACACACACCTCTCTCTCACCGTTAAAACCAACATATTTGGTGAGTAAAGTCAAAGTATTTGTACTCATAGAACACAATCCGCACAATCAGTGCTAATCATTTGAAATAATGACCAATTCTCCTGCTCCTCCTCTCTCTGTACCACGATCCATCTAGTCTTCAAAGAGCTCCTAAGCAGGATTGTGCATGAGAAGAAAAACGGCGGCCCTCACATTCCCAAGATCCAGGAGAAAAAGGGCAATCGCTTCTCCATCCCCGACCTTCCTGGAGACATGGAGTTCCCTACAGACCACAAGAGCACCAGGAAAATGAAGGCCAATACTGTGTCAGGAGGACGAAACAAGATCAGGAAGATGCTGGAGAAGACCCGCTTTAGTATACTGCCTCCTAAACCTTTCAGGTAAGAAGATTTTTGTGGTAGCAGTCAGTTGTTTAATGGGAATGCAGTACATGGATGGATTAAAAGTAATATTCCAGTCCAAATGTATTGTTAAAACCTACAAGCATAGCAGGGAGAGGAACAACCACTTAAAAACCACTTTAGAGCAAGTTTTGGCCCACAGTCCTCTCTGGCTAGATGTTTCTAGTGTCTGCATCAGTATTGTAGCAAGCTGCTATCATCTGCATCTGCAATTGTTGGAAGCGTGAGCAGAAATCTTTGTTACTGAACGAAACCACTTACTCCAATCAGAAAGGGAACAAGTGATAGATCCTCTAGTGGCCTGTATGGGCAGGGAATGGAGAAATTTCCCCCAAATTTTAGATAAAATACTGACCTATCTTTAGTACGCAGAAATAAGTTGCGGTGTGCAAGTTCTCTTCCATTTCACGCTGTATTTACAGGAACACGGCTCTAAAAATGTGGCATTTATTTTTGCACTTTATTACTTGATGTTGGTGTCTGGGATGCAATACTTTCGTCTTCAGCTGCTGTAATGTTCCAGCCAAAATCACGAAAATGTAAAAGGCCTCATCATCATCACCATCATCATATAAGCATTGTCGTTGTCATCTGTAACCAGCCATGGTACTTGCAGCATCTGGAGCAATTGAAAGCAATTGTGCAGATGGAGGCTCACATTCAATTTTCCACCCGTAACGTGCTGATACAGGCTTGATTTCATTTTATCATTTCATGCCTCTCCAGGCCTCATTAAACTCCATACTGTGTCAGTATGCGAGAGAGAAGATGCTGTTCTAACCCTGTTAATTACAGAACTAACCGTCAGCATGGCTCTCACATACTGCAAACACACATACAGACACTGTCATGAACATCCGTGTCCCCTCACTTTTCTCTCTCACTGTTTCCGGCAGTCTGCAGTGATTATGTCCACAAAGCCACACAGTTTGCATGGAAACTGATTGTGCTCTGTCTCATAATGCAAACACGCTATCACACGCCCATTGATCTGACTCGATGCACAGCTTCCAAAGGATCTCCGCTGTGATCTATTTATCGACCAAACAAGGGCTTTCATTACTTTTTATTTTGCTGCTCGGCACCATTCAAACCGCTCTTTGGTTCAAAGAAATTGATGGCTGATTAAAGGGACTGGAGATGAGAATGGAGATGAGAGGGGTGATTTTGGTCAATCGGGATACATCAGTGCCTGTTGTAGGATGAAAATTTGACAGGAGGCAACGTCGTACAGTTGTCTACTGGGTGCATATATACAAAAGGTACAGGGTGCTCCGACGACAACGTAATTTAAGATGCCATGCAGTTTTAAGTACTCACACATACACACACTGAACTCACTGTCCTTTTAAGGACACATTGGTGCTCTCAAGGAGGAAACCTGTGACCACTGTTGCTATGGAACAGCCTCTCTCTGTCTGACAAAGGCTACATTTTCAGTGCTTTTGCTCACTTCTTCAACATCTGGCAAGTTAAATTAAGCCGAATAACCTTGCTTAACAATTTAAAATCCTATGCAGTGTGCATACATACACAAACCCACTGTCACTGCCGCTGCTTCTTTCTGTTCTTGGCTGACATTGTGCTCCTCTTCAGACAAGGATTTTATATGACAAGGACACACTGGCAATAAACAAGTCGTTTTTCTGCCAAATTAAGATGTCTGGGCCTGTGCATGCACCTTTACACACATCCCATATTGACCAACCTAGTTGATTTACATTCCACAGATTGGAAAGCAATAGACAGAGGTTTTAGCCTTTAGTCAGTTCATCTCAGAAGCCTGGTAGATTTAGTGTGATGACGATAAAGTAGTAACCCCATGTCCCATGATGCCATTTTCATCCTCTCTACTTCTTTGCGATACAGTTACATGTGTTAAATCATGCTGCATATCACTATAACTACTGCTTTATTGAGTGTTCTCAACATTCACCCTTCACATTTTACTGCATGCCCAGTGCACTGCTGCTGCACCTGCAAGCAGAACTGTTCAGGAAATTATTACTGTTATATATATATATAGACCTGCTTGTGCACTAGTTCGTAAGACAGAAAGTTTTTTGTAGTAGCCAATCTGTCTATATTCACAAACACATTGGCAAAAGTTGTGTATAGTACCTGGTCATTTCTTGGTATCACCCCAGTTGAAGTGAGCCAATACTGAAAAGTGGAGTTAAAACAATGCAGACCACTGATTGGTCAGATGCAATTGTCATTAGAATCAGTCAAGTCACATGCGATATCCGGCATCCTCCTGTATTTGTGTCACATTAAAGATGATGTCACAGCAGTTTCATGCTATATCGCTATGGCGATCAGCCAAGAGTCCCTCCTACATTGAGAGGAAACTATCTGCATTGGAAAACAAAATCAAGAATTTATGTGGTACCTAAAGTGAGTTAAGTCGAGTCCAGCCGAGCCATTCTATTCAGTAGAAATTAAGCTTAATAGCTTAACAACCCATAAACCTGGAGCTTCCCATAACCTAAACTTGTATGAACCCATAAGGGATATGTTTAGGGTTTTGTCTTGTTATCAAAAGGCAACACCGGGACATCTTCATTTTTATGAGCTGTTTGGTAGGCGTGCTGTTCAGTTGTGGCACAGACAACCATGAAAATTATTATTATTTTTCTTTTAAATTTCAATGTGAAGATTTTTAAACATCAGTATTGTTTACAGTACATTGTCCCAACATTTTGAAGAGGTGCAGGCCACAAAAAAGGGCTGATATAATACAGGAAGGTGTTACAGTCTCTCAAAACCAAAAAAATTGAAAATGTAAGAACAGAATCATGACATTTTGGTCTTTTTAGCCTTCATAAGTTACCAGCACTTTTTGTACTTGATAAAAGTACAGTTTGTCTGCTATTTTAACTGTAACATAATTTGCTCTCCAAGATGAAATACATTTTGTCTGCCTGTAGAAGAGAAAGGTACAAGTGATAAAGCTTTATTTCTGTACTTGCATGTTTTATGTGGTACAACTTGCAGTTAATAATTCTGTTCATTTATGTTTTTTTTCTGAAAACATTATACTTATGTGCGTCCTGCTATAGATCATCTCACGAGTATTGTTTTGTGAATGAGGTCAAATAGTCAAGTTGGATTTCCTCACAAATCCTGCAATTTCCTGTCATGTGCTGTGTATGAGTCTGTGCTGGCGTTATGAAACTGCTCCTGACATTTTTTCTGCTTATTTATTTCAGCAAACCTGTCAGTGTGTCCGAGCTTTGGCTATTATCTATTCTGTCAGCCTTCATGTGTGTTTGTGCTGTTATAAGTGTATATGTTAGAAAAGATAGGCCTTGTCACTTTGCTGCACTTGTATTGTTGATTCACTTCAGCAGAGCTCTGCTGATGTTTTTTTTTTTTCCTTTTCTTTTTCACGCTTTTCAATGTTGTCTCTCTTTCCGTTTGTCTCCACTGCTTCAGGGGCCTGTTTGGGTAAGACCTCTTGTGTAACTCCCCATCCTCTAACCATTTGATTCAGTATCCATCTGCAGACCTGCACACAGCAGGCAGCCACACACACACACACACACACACACACACACACACACGCACACACTCACCAGCACCACTGACCTTCAGCAACATTACTCTAGGACTGCATTTATAGATTTCATGCTTATTCCTTTAACATATGAGTCCTACTTTCCTGCAGACTCAAGGTGTTCTTTCGCTTTGTTTTCACATTCAAACCCTCCAATTAAATTTGTGTTCACCACCACTTCCTGGAGTCTATTTTTCAGGGATTTTGCAGAAAATATCAAGCAAGCTTTGGTTTATTACAGTGTTACTGGCTACAGATGGTTTTGGTTTCTTGATGTTTAACAGTCAGCGCACCTGGAATCTTAAGTGAATCAGTTTAATACCAGAATATATAAAAACTTAGAAGCGTGATAAATTAGCTTTAATGCTGGTCTAAGACATATTTAGTAAGCTCTTGCATTTTCAGTGAACTGAAAAATCTGAAAAAAAAACTGTACATACGATTCTCAAACCAAAATACAGTACTGCTATATTTGCTTGTAGTTATCAGGTATAGTTAAGTCTGTCTTGACCTTCATTAGTCGAAGGGTGAATAATATTAGACTTGTATTATTATTCAATTATTAGAGCTAACAATATCAATCTAGTCTTATTTGAGCCCCATGCTATCCTTATCTGTCTCAATTTCACCATTATCCTCTTTCCAAATCTCCTTTGTCTTTTTTTCACCACCCTCCAAGTTATTTAATCAACCTATTCTCTTTCTTTTTCTCCCCTATTCTCTATCTGCCCATGTCTGTTTTTATTGTCTTATCTACTTTTTCTTCTTTTTCTCTGCCCCTCTCTCTTCCATCTTGTCGGTGCAGTACCTATCGACTAGTGACTCAAAGATTACAGAGGCTTTGCCAGCAGCACTGGGTTGTGTTAGTGGAAGCCCTGCATTACTGCACCATGTGCAGTACATACTGTACAGACATACACAGCTAGAGGGAAGCTACAGTTAGTATGCAGGCAGGATGAGATGAACTCTCTGTCTCAGACATGCAGTTACTGTCACTCAATGTCTATTTAACATCAATAAATCAGTATAACAGTCAAGTGTCGATATCAATCACATTGCTTCCATCTTCTTTTAGTCTGTTCTTATAGTATTTATAGTTTGTTATTTTCAGTCTGAAGTGCAATTCTATATATTCTAGATACAGCTAAACATCTTAAAAGTCTTAGATTAACAAAGTATCTGCAGGTTTTCAAGTCTTAAAAACAGTCAAAACAAAAAAGCCTTAGAGGGTATAAAAAAGCCTGATAATGTTAGTTATAAAATGTTTCTGTGTCCGATTTCAGCATGTTTCTATGTTTCAGCCAGCACCATCAGACCTGTCAGTGTCAGTTTAAGCAAAAAACTTGAAAGAATGAATCATTTTAAATTGGTTAATCCATTTTCCATTTCATGCTGCTTATCTGGTTCCCGGTTACACTAATTTGATTAATTATATTATTAAAAAATTATTGTTGCATACTGCTGGGAAGTAGTCAAAAACTATGATGTAATAAATAATTCCAGGTCATAACATCTCTAATGGCTTTTCATCATACTTTCATTCTTCACCAGTATGACTGTGAAACAGATATTAAACTGCAGTCAGACTGCAGTAAAAGTCTTAAATTTAACTTATATTAGTGCACCCTGCAGAAACCCTGGTTGAGTTGAAAGCCACCACAACTGTTAGTTATCCAGCCTTCAGGAACCCACATTTATCACTTGAGGCAGGGCTATTCAAAATCACAATACCCAACCTGTCTGTTTAGGGTTTGTCTCAGAAGAGTTGCCATTTCCATCATATGTATTCAGATCCGATGATGCAGTCTAACGAGGCCATTAATGTAAAGGTTGATGTTTGCATATCCCTAAGCGCTGTCTTTCAAATCCAGTTTAGCCGCATAATGTGGCCGACTGCTGGACACACACAAAGAGAACAGAGGGCTAGATGGTGAAAGACAAATAGACACAAGCTAAGAGCAGGGATATAATGTATAAATGTGCAACGAAAAACACCTGCAAAGTCATGGAAAAACATCTGAATGATCTAAAATCCTAAAAAAAATAAATTACTTCTCATTTATTTGTGCTCTGATGTTTGCAATGCTCGTTTTTGTCTCTGTTAGCTTGTGTATACCTTGTGTATCATTGTCTCGTGCCGTGTGTGTGTTTGGTGAACTTGTGTGTCGGTCTATCTGTCAGTGCACCTTATCAGTTCCCACCATTCATGAAACCGCCTCATGGATGAATTTCAGATGTGTCACTGCTGCATATTAAAAGACAAATATAGTGATGTTGATATTTTGTGGTGTCATTCTGCAAGAGTAGACATTTTGATTAAATCAAAACGAGTTGTGATTTTTCTATGTTCTCAAAATGAAGGGAAAAGCACTCGGGCAGTTTTTTTAAAAAAATGTCTACTACTGCAAAATAAAGTTATAAAATTAATTTTTAGTCTTTACTGGAGGAAAACTAATTTTCCTGTTTCTCTTTTTCTTTCTCTCGTATCCAACCCTTTTTCTTTTAATACCACCACCCAACCTGCACCCCATTCTCTTTCTTGTCCCTCCATACCGTCCTTGCTTTCCCTTTGCAGTGATGGTGGCATGGGTCAGTCTCAGGACGACAGCATTGTGGGTACCAAACAGTGTCGTCACAGCGTGGCCATTATGCCTATACCCGGCAACCTTTCGTCAAGCAGCCCTGACCTGCTGCAGCCAGCCACCAGCGTCCTCGACTTCTCCAACCCCGCAGGTAAGAAAAAAATATTGACAAGAATGTCAAGAAATGAAGAAATGAAGAAATGTTTTCATTATTATGTTCCATAATACACCGATTGGCTAATAATGTGTTGCGCTAATAAAAAAATCTTACTGACTTCTTTGTGCACTTCACATTCAAAAAGTGCAGAGAGTTCGTGAGTAGTACTGTAATGGGACACATTTTCTACTGTCTTCCTTTTCAGTGAGTCACTTGACAGCATGTTAACTCTTGTCCTGTTTCTTTCTTTGCATCTTTCTTAGTTAATACATTTGATGGTTAGTTGATTAAACTTTTTGAACACAACACTTGACAAAAACAACAGCCTGAAACTTATTTCTCAAAGTGAATAAAACTCAAACGTGAAACAAAAGATTGAACCAAAGCAAATTTGTGGATATATATAAGACAAAACCTGAATTCCTAAAAGCATCCAAAAATCCTATTTTTATTCATACTTGTTCGCTAAACAAGTGGAAGCACTTTGTGTCAGGGAAGCAAAGCTTTCATTCCACTGATTTACAGTTGTTCGTGGCCTTATTTCAGGTGTCTCAGTCAAACAATTCACTTCTTCTTTCCTGGGGCTGTTTGTCACACTTGACTTGAAACCTCTGCCTCATTGAACAGTGAAAGCCACTTGTGGAGTGAAGGACTCCAATGCTCAGAGATGCTAGCACCCTTAATCACATAAAGCAGCCATATGAGAAGTGTAGTGATGTGTGTATTTGTTTTTCTCGAACACAAACTTCTCTCTTTTATCTTTCTCTCTCCTTGAAATTCAAGCAAACTCCTCAAAAACACTTACGCTCACTTGTGCTGACACAGGAAGAGGCATTCACTCACTCAAAGCAGGCAACTAAAGGCTCCTAGCATTGCTGTATACACACACACACACACACACACACACACACACCTGAGGTCTTTCTTTTTGAAGTGCCAGAGAGATGTTGTAGAATTTTGTCCGTCTGACATGAATTAACCTCCTGGACTATAAGACTTATTTATACCTTTTCCTGTTAGACAGGTTTTGGCAGTCATAGTTATTTTAACCAACATGGATCACTCCTGTGTATACTGTGCATGTATGAGATTGAAATACTGAGAGAGGAGAGAACAAGAAAAAGAAAGTGGAAAGGTGAAAGAGTGTGAGAGAGTGAATATGGTCCTGATTTATTCCACCGGCCATTTGTCAATGAGCTGCACACACTCAGACAGACACACACACACACACACACACACACACACACACACACACACACACAGCTGCACGTAGATCCCTAGTTTGTAGACCTATATATCACATGTGGTTGTGTTGTATTAGAGTACAAACACACACACTGACTGGGCCTCATTAATCATCCGCTATTAGATCAAGTTTCCTTAAGTCCTCTGGCCTCCCATTAGATTTAATAGTAGAGGGGAGAACAGCCCACTCAAACTCAACCCTGTTCCAGATGCTCTGCAGGGCGTGTAATACCTACAAAGTCCTACCTGTAATTACATTAGCATAGCTGATGCATCCAATATCATGTTTCTACTGTCCATACTGGAAGTATGAGCAACATGGCTTTGGGGTATTTGAAAATGTTGTTTAATTTGTTAGTTTGATTGGTCATAGTCATTTTATTTATGGTTTTAGGCAGCTCGTGGGTCGTTTTAAGGTGCCACACAGGTTTTTTTTAGGAGGAAATCATTTAGATTTTATAATCACATGTAATCTGATTTCATAGGCATGTCTCATGTTGCCTGTAACTGCTTGTTATCGCTGCTTATCCTAGTTAGGATTTTTATTCTTAAAGAGGCTTTAGTAAACTTCCTGGTTAAATGAAGGGTTCTGGACCTAGTCTTACTTTATTATACAGTATTAGTAAAAGCGAGTAATTAAAATAGTTTCTTTTTAAAACATAGGTTATAAAATGCTTAAAGTGCAAACCTACAAAAGAGAAAAAAGAATGTGTTAGAATAAACATATAAATCAAAGACAAGCAAGCATATGTTTGGCTCTGGGTGAAGTTATACTCTCAGATCCTTCATTGTCTTTTGTCTCTCTTATTTTCCTCTGCTTCTGTCCCTCTTGTCCTCTCCCTCTCCTCCTGCGTCTCTCTTGCTGTGATTTTAAACAGATGTTCTAGTGTCGACATGATGAGTCATACTCGGCCCCTTCTGGTCTCACATGAACAGATTAAGGCTACACTAGAAACTCCACTGGTGTTCCCTCCTTTTTCCCTTCTGTCATGATGTTTCCAACCTCTAAATCTCTTTGTGCACTCTCACACTCTCTCTTCCTCTCATATTCACTGTGTTTTCTCTTTTTCCTCTCTGCTTGCCAAGCCCTGGGACTGTACTGTAAGTATACATAACTTCAATGCCACTGTTTGATTGTGCTTCAGTAAATATTCCTCCCAAATGTCCCCTCCATCTTGACTTTTTCTTTCTTTAATCCATTAACTTATTTTCCACCTTCCATCCTTGCATCTCTGCATCCATGAACTGCATCCTTCAGGCTCTGGGTTTGGGCCTTGTATTGTATTTTATACTTCTCCCACTTGTTATCTATCCTTGTGAAACTATGAGTATCAGAGTAAGGACACATTAACTTGGTGAACGAGCAACCAAACAAACATTCACCGGGGAAAAGCACACCGCTAATATCAGTTTGCAGGCTACATGCTCAGCTGCAGCGCATTGAACGGCATGCACACATACCTGCAAATGTCACTTCGGTCCAGACAACACATGATAAGCTACAGCTCAAGTGTTTTTTTTACTTTGTCTCTCATTCCCCTGCTTCAGGTACAAGAGCCTGCAGGTTACTGTTGACCAAACACAGCATTTATACGTCCCTCCAGCCACTGAGACAGAAAAAAGGAAGCACATATTATTGTGTTTTTCTAAATAGTTTTTAGACAAAAACTCACTTTTATCACATCACAAGTAGTGTCAAGCTTTGGTTAGAGAGACAATACTTGAGTCAGTAGGATAGATTAATTGGTGGTTTGCGTCTCTTTAGAGGTATTGGTGATAATAATGAAAATACCAAAGTAACACCAGCCTTTAACATCATTTCCCAACAAGTATGTCATACTTGAGACATTTCTTTTCGTTTCTATTTATTAATTAGAGCCATGGTGTTTAACCCCAGCCACTCTACTCCACTCTTCTTTCAGAGCCCCAAGCCATCATGCCCTGCTATCTTTTGCTCTCTGTGCTTTCTCGTGTGATTTCTGTCTTCCAACTGTATGATAGAGTGACTGGGAAAGGCTCTGGCAAACAGTAGAAAGAAGAGTGAGGAGGAGACTGAGGCTTGTGGAAAGTGTGTAGCCTCTCATAGTGCTGTGGTTGCAAAAACCCAAGAAGATTTCCCGCGTAGAAATCCTCTTTGGCTTCAGTCCATGAATAAATTCTCTAGTGTTGAGGAAAATGAATGATACCTTATTAAAGATGATAATTGATTGGATGTTTGGCTGGACAGGCAACGATTGTCCTCCTGTGTGCAGGTCGGGTCGCAGCTAGTCCAGAGGTTTAAATATGATTAAGTGCCCCGGATATGATAGCCAGCTATTTAGCCGAGAGCTTCCCACACTCTAATCACAAATCACAGCTAATGAGACACAAAGCATTTAGCTTCCACTCAGCCCACCCTCAACACCCTGCTGCACATAAACAGAGAGGAGCTCTGCTACAGCAGCAACACAGGAAACATGGAGGGAGCCACAAACATAGTCCTATGATGCCATTTTTGAATTTTCTGATTCTAAGAATAAATGTTTCTGCACATATATTGTCTTCTTCTGGATAAAAGTGTATGTCATGTGATTTAAATCAATAAGCTCACAGTCAATAGAGAGGTCATCCATCACCAAGACTGGCCTCAAACATTAAAACATGAATATGTACACATTCCAGAAGTAAAAGTCACACATTATATACAAATTGGGAAAACCTCTGGATGCTTGCATTTAAATCAAGAAATAAGTTGGTGAAATACTAAAAATATGCATTCAAGGTACACATATAAATGTACAGTATATGTAAAGAGTCGACCAGTAGGAAATACAGAATAGAAAAAAAACATGTGGGTGCATGTATATGAATAGAAAAAAGAGAATGCATGAATACATTCCTGTAAAAATAGAATGCAGAAAAGAAACAGAAAGCAATAGCAATGTGTATACACACAGATACATCCAGACTGATGCTACTTACCTAAAGAAAATCCTAATTTATATATCACAGATATTGAAAGTACAATGAATCATGCACACACAGTCAAACACACCAACAGGCTCTTTAAACAAGCAGAGGTGATTGATTATCAGCATTCACTCTTAACGTTATTGTTATTGGCTTTACCTTCAGCAATTTGCTTCTGCTTATTGTGCTGCTGCTCCTGCTGCTATAATGATGATGATAATAAAGCTGCCCCAGCTATTGTCATCTAAACACACACACACACACACACACACACACACACACACACACACACACACACACACAGTCACAGACAATTCAGAGATCTGTTTGCTAATAAAGGTGAAGGTAATGACTTTGTGTCTGAGCACACTTAACCCTTTTCTGCTTGGTAAACAGGAGGTAGCAGGTGTGTGTGTGTGCGCGCATGTTCGTGCTTTTGAACAAACTCATCAGTCAAATAGACCTTTCACCTTTTTTCTAGATTATCTCTTCGTGATCTCCCTCCATTCTCAGTTTATGTGATTGAGCTCTTTGGCTGCCTGTGGCTAATGGGCCGTACCCTCTTCCTTACTCAAACACAGGGATCTTTAATGCAGTATTTCACTCAGGGGGAACATTTCTATTATTTAACACACATCGTGTGAGTCACGTGCAGCTGCTCCAGCATCAGCTGCCCCAGGAAACTGTAGCTTTTATTTTGGCCTCTTACTTTTGAATATTGTCTTAAATCAAGTAAACAATAACACTTTATGTCACCTGACATGAGAAAACAAAGTAATGTTGGGACATGATGCTGTTTTATTGTTTGTTATTCAAATGAATAATTCAATTTTGCATTCCTAGCTTTTAAATGGCACTTAACATAATGTGGCTCAGTAAATGATTTAAGTTTAAATGATTAATTATTGAATGATGAAAGTGTGTTTTGATTTTTCTTTTTTCTGATGTAAGGTTCATAGCTTTTGTTTTACTTCAAAATAGGTTTACCTATAATTTTATGTGGAAAAGATGACATGAATAGATTTTAACTTCTAATTTAAATGTAATTATTAGAAACAAGTATGTCCAGGTCAGATAACTAAAAGAAAATGAGAGATGATAATGCGTGGATTGTCACTGAGAACATAATTGCATGTAACGTGTGTGGTTTCTGCTGCGTCTACCATTGTCACCCAGCTCTTGGCACTTTGTCCTTTCTAGCTGCATGTGTCCTTGTTTCTTTATCTTGCTTTAGCCTTGTGTGAGGCTCAAAACGCCTGTAGTGTACATGTTTACTGTGAAAAAAGACCTGTGATGTCTTTGATCATGTCATGTGTACCCATATCTCCCTAAGTCATTAACAACATTTGTTTTTGATGCAGTGTTAGAAACAGTACAGCCTGTTTGTTTTTGTGAACATTTATGTATCCACCTATACCAGAGACCTATAACATAGCTGCCTCTAACATAAAAAGTGTGAATAATGTTATTAAACTAAATGTAAGCGTATCCTTGCAGCCATGTGTAGTAACTTCAAGCAAGTCCATTGGAAATGTATATAACAGCCATGCTGGAAAGAAGATGAAACAGTGTTGTGATTTGGCTCAACAGTAGGATAATGCAGAAATGCCATTGTTAAATATTCATTGTAGGTTATTATAACGGCAGAAACTGTTGTGTATTTGACCCTTTGCCCATTTGGTTTTACACCAAAGACGTTTTGGCAGGAGAGTTGTCAGCTCAGCAAATCTGTTTAGAGTAGACGATGTAGGTCTTGTCACCCGAAACACTCAATAATGTAATGAAAATAAAATATAGAAACCATAACCTTATAGCATTCCTGCCCTCATTTCATAATGTTCACATTATTGGTACATTACTCAAGAGAAAGATAAATGCCAAAACTTGCAAAGCTGCACTTAGATCACTGTTTATTATATTGAAGACTTTATTACATTTAGTTTTACTGCATTATCGGCATTTCTTATAGTATTGGCCTCCACATACTGTAACCATCACAGTAATTAGTCACTGACAGCACTCCTCTTTTCTTACTCTTCCATTTTCAGACATCCCAGACCAGGTGATTCGGGTGTTCAAGGCAGACCAGCAGAGCTGCTACATCATCATCAGTAAGGACACTACCGCTAAGGATGTGGTCGCCCACACTGTCAATGAGTTCGGACTCATCGCAGCACCCGAGACCTACTCCCTTTGCGAGGTATCAGTTAGCCCAGAGGGAGTCATAAAACAGCGCCGTCTGCCCGACCAGCTCTCTAAACTGGCTGATCGGATTCAGCTCAACGGCAGGTAAGAAACACAAGAATGACACTGGTGTCATGCCTTGGCCTGAATGTGGTGAGCATTAGAGTGATTCTGTCTGAAGCTTAAGGTTCACAAAGCAGCACACAAGAATTAATAAACCAGGAAGCAACAATATTTCATGGTCAGGGAAGCATATTGGTCCTGGAAAAAGGCATGGACTTATTTACCACAGTGGGAATCTTGGACAAAAAGAAGTGGAAGTGGAGCAGAGAATTTGAGAATTTATATAGACCTATGGCTAGTTGAAGGCTTGAATGACTGAAGTCATGACCCACTGTGCTTGGATTCAAAGCCCACAATCCTGGGACATAGGAGATTTTCCTTCCTTCCTTCCTTCCTGTTCTTTTTAAAATTATTTCTGGGTTGAGTCAACTAACACAGGACCACACAGTGCTCAGTATTTTGTGCAGCTACTTTGAGCTTTATTCTGTAAATAGATTTCTTGCCCTGTACTGAAGAAGAATTTAATCCAATACCACATTTTTCCCAAATCACGACTAACACAGTGGGTCAGACTTCATACTCATACAACAGCTTGAGCTTAGCTCTTCTAGAATGTTGATCATGTACATTGCATATATATTGATTAAAATTCTCCTAGAGGAGTGGTTCTCAATCCTTTTCCAGGGATACAGGGTAAACGGTAAATTGTAAATGGACTGCATCTATATATAGCGCCTTTTTTAGTCTTCCGACCACACAAAGCGCTTTACACTACATGTCACATTCACCCATTCACACACATTCACCCACTGATGGCAGAGGCTGCCCAGCAAGGTGCAACTGCTCATTAGAAACTAATTAATCCCATTCGCACACACTCACACACTGATGGCACAGCATCGGGAGCAATTTGGGGTTCAGTATCTTGCCCAAGGACACTTAAACATGCAGATGGTGGAGCCGATACTATTCTGTGGAGTTGTTAATTCACTTAGCATTCTTGAGGTGTAAATCAGTTCAAAACCAGCAGGGCTCCAGGTGCAGACGAACAGGATTCAGAACCACTGTCCTAGTTCAGTGGAATGAATAAATCAAGTGGTGTTGCCCCATAAACGGGCTGGGAAACATTTTTATTTGTTACTTGAAACAGAAGACAAGCTGCAGTTTGTCCCATTTAAAAAAAACAAAACAAAAACAACAGTTTACAGCACACAGTGAATTGCATGTGATGTGTGTGTGTTTCCTTTGCACCAAAAAACACCATTGCCAGTATGTTTGTTTGTTTTTTTTTAGTTTGTGGCACATCACACGTCTTCATGATGCCAGACACATTCCCTTTTTATGATGAAAGTTTGTAGGACATGAAGGATAATTGGAGTGCAGCCATAAAGTCTGCTTTAAAACGGCTCCTCCGTCAGTTTTTCACACTTTTCTCCCTCTCTCCTGGTCTCCTGTGGTCCCTCATCAGTCCCCTCCCAACTAGGTTAGCATGAATATTTCATCCTCTGTCAGGGGCGGAGGCCTCAGCAGACAGCATGGCATGTCTGGAATTATTCATACACATACTTGCATGCACACACGGACACGCAGAAAGATATAGATACAGGCAGTCACCTTCCTATACAAGTCATGCATCTATCTAGTATAGACACGCAAATAAGATTTGTGCAAAATACTATACGCACAATACTGTGTTTACACAAGCATACATATTTGTATTTATGGATTCTATATGCATGCATCTACACACAAAAAGTCTCAAACCTGTATAGACAGACACACTCACTCATCTAGAGGACACTCATGGTCCACACCTTCCCTTCGTTTTTTGATGGATGGCTGAGCTGCATAGGAAAAAAATGTCTTACTGTGAGATATTGGTAGTAAAAAGGATTGGTTTAACTGTTGTATGGTATGAACATGCAACTATCTATAGATAGCTTCTCTCTCTAATAATGTACCTTTTACTCTGCTGTTTTTTTATATGTATCCTATGGTAGTGGTATGGTATATTACGGACTCATTGACAATCCACTGTCATGTTTGTCATCTTTTTTACATGTATACATATACTTGGCGCAGTGTCAGCAGGATGTATATACAATAGTATGTATACAGTAGAGTTTGCAGTATTTTTTTAGGAGCAGTAACCAAAGATATGCTTCTCTTTCTCTGTATCCCACCTCTTCTGTTGCTCTCTGTCTGCAGCTGATGATTGACAGAAGGTGTAACGGGGGGAAAGGCCGAGCCAATAGCAAGCCTTGTTCACACCGCCAAAATATATAAAAACAACCAGTGGCCATTTACACTGGCTTGGTTCCAGAAGCTTCCCCTCGCCCAGTTCTATTTAGCACCACTTTGTCCATTATTAATTTAGTTTCCTCTACATATCCAGAAGATAGTGTTTATTTAAATTTTTTTGTTTAATGAGACAGGTTATTGATATCATTTTAATTTACATGAGAAAATTGGACCATTAAATGATTACCCACTCTCATCTCCTTCTTCCGCTTCTTCTCTCCTCTCGTCTTCTTTATTCTCCTCTCCTCTCCAATTCTTTCCTGCTCTCTTCTCTCCTCTCTTTCTTCTCCGTTCTTCTCAACATATCCTAGTTAAGTGTCTTTACATGTTTTTAGAAAGACCTCAAATCAAATCTCAAGTCTCAAATCTAAATCTATAATCTATTTAAAAAAAAAAAAAATATATATATATATATATATATATATATATATATATTTCGGGTGTTTTTTAAGCTCTCAAATGTAAAAAATGTATTGTGCTTTATCCTACACATAAAATTCAGCTTGATCTTCTCACCTCACATCCTCACATCTCCTCTCTTTAGTTGCTCTTCTCTCCAGCTCTTCTGACAGTGTAACAGAGAGCCATTTCGAGGCACAACCATGCCAATACTTTGCCCCTGAGGGCTGTAGGTCTACAGTGCACTACGGCGCTGCATTCCTAGATGACCACATTACAGCTCCATTAGAGTAGAGGTGGGGTGTGGGTGTTTTAGATTTATAAACATAGAAGCACATAACGGGGTAAGAGAGATGGCCTGCTGCTGGAAGATCTCCCAGAAAACTGTTGGAGATCAGGCCTAAAGAGAGATGGCTCTGTTTTTCCTCTCACTCATGCACGTGTCATCATTCTTACCTTATTTTTGCTGAGTTCCCTGCTCTTCTCTTTCACTCTGTCTTTCCCCTTCTTTGCCCCAAGGTAAAATATGTCCGTAATCTATCAATACAATCAGAGTATTTATTCCCTTTCCTCAAACTAATCTTGAATTGGAGACAGAAAAGGTGTCCCCTTTAAGATGAAATGTGAATGAGAGGAACATTCAAGGGATTTATCTGGGTTTTTTTTTAATGTGTCGAAAGTTACTGCTGGCTGAAAAACCAGATTCTGTCCACCCACCTGTCTGTTTCTGCAGCCTATATTAAAGCATCTGAGGATACTGCAGACCTAGTAGCTACTGCTCTAAAAATACAGAGATGACATCACTTTCAAAGTATTTTACTTAACTTCATAGGAAAATAGCAGAAATTTTGTTTCTTAACATCTTCATTGCATTAGATTGTGGTTTTCAAATGTCAAGGAACGATTTTTTTAACTTGCCCCAACTCTAATCTTACTATTGCATCTCATCCTCTTTCCTTCTATTCTCCTCACTGTAGATACTACTTGAAGAACAACATGGAGACGGAGACGTTGTGTTCGGACGAGGATGCCCAGGATCTCCTAAGAGAGAGTCAGATCTCTCTGCTCCAGCTCAGCACCATGGAGGTTGCTGCCCAGCTCTCTATGAGAGACTTTGAGCTCTTCAGGAACATTGAGTCCACAGAGTATGTAGATGTGTAACATTTTTTTAACCGTAATAACTTAATAATTTTCAAAAAACTAACTTCATAAAATGCTTTACAGATAAAAAGATATTAAAACAGATCAGATAATAATTAGGAAATTAAACTGCTGGTGGTATATTAAGCAGCACAGGATGTTGATACACATTTAAATGTTTTCAATTTTAATGGTTCCCAGGTACGTGGATGACTTGTTTAAACTAGACTCCTCAATCGGAAGTGGTAATCTCAAACAGTTTGAGGAGGTGATAAACCAGGAGACCTTCTGGGTCGCCACAGAGATCCTTAAGGAGCCCAACGCCCTGAAGAGGATGAAGACCATCAAACACTTCATCAAGATCGCCCTGCACTGCAGAGAGTGCAAGAACTTCAACTCCATGTTCGCTATTATCAGGTGGGCTTGGTGTAGAAAGAGTTCGTGTGTATATTGGCTTCCTGAATTAAGTGTGGTGACACATTGTTTCATCATTTTTCTCATTTTTGCCTTAGTCGTAGTATAGGATTACTGTTCTGAGGACTGCTAGCATTTACTCTGTCTCCACTGACAGCTTTTTTGCCACATGAGCTTTGGCCTCTTGTCTCTTTCCCCATATCCTCACGAGAGCCTGCCTCCCCTCCCCCCTCCTCTTCTAGTTCACTGAATCAGCCCTGATTCTCCCAAACCACACAGACTCTGCCTCAGCAACCTTACAGCTTCTCAAGAGTCTCATAGCAAAGGCTACACTTATTGTTTGTTGCTGTTGTTAATTCCCCCTGGTCTCTGTGGTTTTGGCTGATGACTCAGATGACTGAAGATGTGTACTGTGGCCCTGTTATAAGAGGTAAAACCCACATTAGAGGAGAGGCATGCTAGTGCTGGTAGTATTCTGTTTTAGGGATGGACCTGGGAACGTGATTGTGATTGAACCCACCAATATCTTCATACATGTTTATTCATCATGTGCAAGTGTGTTTGTGTCTAAACAGGCAGTTGTGAATTTGTGTATGTGTATTTTTTTTGTTGTATATATGCGTATTTATGCAGGAGAAGATTTACTTAGTTACCGTATTTATCTGTATTTGTGTGAAAGCATTTTTAGTAAGGATGCACCGAAATCACTTTTTTTTTATACCAAGTACTGATATGAGAACTTAATACCATTACAGCTTGTAAAGTGTATTGGACCCAATACTGGTACCGGCCCTGCGGCAGTAGCCCACTTTCCCTGTTTCATAACCTTAAATGTTTTATTCCAGGACCACTTCTGTTTCCCCTATATTTAATCATCACTAAAACATCCTAGGTTAATTTTTTATGCGGATGACACCGCTTTTGTACAGTCTTCTCTGTCTTTGGCAATATCAAATCTGAAAGCAGATTGCCAAGTCCTACAGCTGTTTCTTATTGATCTCAAACTGTTATTACAAGATTTTTCTAAGAAATTAAAAAGATAAAATACTCACACCAATAAGAAATAGTAGAACTTGAGAATGCTAAAATAAAAGATGGTAGGGCCTTTTAATGAGAGCAGAGACAACAGAGGATGACCTCAGCTATTAAGCTTCTGCTGTGCATCCTGACTATGATTAAGCTAAACTAATTATTTTTTTATACATACAGTAGCATCATTGTGGCTTCACTGTGTCAATGGGACCTGAAGATGATGCCACTCGACACCTCCTACTTCTTGCTCCATGTTTACTCATTTACTGCTGCACCAGTGTCCCAGTCCCAAGAGTAATTATTCAAAAACAACACGTCATGTTCTCTCTGTAGCCTAGCTTGGTTAATAGGTTGTTTAGACACATTTGTTTTGCAGTGTGCTCTTTTCAATCTGCAGTATAAAAATAATCAAGAAGGATATTTTCTGCAATGTTGCTGCAGCATACAATTAAGTATGAATGAATTAGGATTCAGTTCTGCAGTAGCTATCATTGTAGATGTAATATGTTGATTAATTGAAGTGATTGCATTTTCTGTAAAACAAAATCATCTTGACTTTTTTTCTTAAAAGGATCCACTTTCACTCACACTAAGCTGTCATCTTGAGTCCACTTTAGATCTGGATTTACAGTTTAAGGAGCTGAGCAGTATGGTGATCGTCTGCTCACTGCTGTAAAAGGCACTTGAAAACAGAAGTGCCTGACCTCCATGTCCCTTTACACTCCTCCTCACAGCATGGTGTCTTTGCACATATGGCTCTCTGATGCATAACCTGCCCGGTGACAGGGGCATTGCTGCTGTGTGGGTGTGTGCATATGAAAGATAACGTGCAGGGTTTCCCGTAGCGTTTTATTGTGGTCACACCCCGCTCGGCTCACTTGAAATCACCTCCACTAACCTCATTTATGCTGGAGATATGGGATTATTTGAGTATGCGGTGAGTTGTTTAAAAAAAAAAGGAAAAGGTTAAGTGGTAGATGTGATGACCTGAGAAATAAAGAGAGAACCGAGAATAGGGTTTTGGAAATGAATAAAACAAAAATATACCTGCCAACAGAGAAGATGAGAAAGGTAGAGGAGGGATGGACACAGTTGATGAGCGAAAGAGAAACGGACAGGAACTGGAAAGATAATGAAAGAGGGGAGTAGAAATAAATGCTGTGCCAGTCATAATTATCAGCTGTCTAAATGAGTTTGCTCTGAGATGACATTGCCTCAAGGGGTCTTCTGCTCTGGAAAATGGAAACCTCGCTAACTAAAGATGGTTAGCTCGAAAAGTGGTAATTAAGCAAATGCCATTATGGGGTTTGATTGGGATGTATGTATTGAACACACACACTACAAAAAAGTAAAGTTTTAACTTTTATACTTCACTTTTTTCTCCTGCACCCTCTTTTCCCAAAATGTCTACCTCTATCCTCCTCCTCCCTTCTTCCCACCATAACCTATTTATCTATGCCTCTCCCCTTCCCTTCTCCTGCCCTCCTTACACCTCTTTCCTCCCTCACATAGCGGCCTGAACTTGGCACCGGTGGCTCGGCTGCGGAGCTCTTGGGAAAAGTTGCCCAGCAAGTACGAGAAGCTGTTTGGAGACCTGCAGGACGTCTTCGACCCGTCCAGGAACATGGCCAAGTACCGCAACATCCTAAGCAGCCAGAGCATGCAACCACCCATCATCCCACTTTTCCCAGTGGTCAAGAAGGACCTCACCTTCTTACATGAAGGTACCTTTGTGGAAAGCCCAGACTTTCTTTTTATGTGCCATGTGTTGCTACATTTCCTTTAATTGTATATAAACTAAAAAACTGAGGCCATCTCTGAAACTTGAAACGCTCTTCTGTATATTTGATGTCCCCTACTTCCCCTGTGTTGTGTGGAAGGTCATTTTCAGTCTCACTTAGGTTTACTTCTGCTATAGGCTTCCCTATCTCACATAGTGTCAGGTCAAAACTACCCAAACTGACTTCTCCTTAAAGGTTTTCTCTTAAATGTATGGCCATGTTAGGAATTAAAAAGAAAGTTTCCCTAATTGTGCAAGTTGCTAAAAATTCTCAAGTGGCCTAACATGACTCAATATGAAAGAAACCACTTTGATCTCCTAGAAGATTGACAAGATAACCAGAACAAGGAGATTTTTACTTTGAAGATTTGACTTAGAAATATTGTTGCAAATTGCATCTTGCAAATGTGACAAAATATGAATCATTTATCTCCTTTATAATTTTGACAGCTGACTTCACACTCACTGTTTGTGTGTGTGTGTGTGTGTGTGTGTGTGTGTGTCCTCTCAGGCAATGACTCCAGTGTAGATGGTCTTGTGAACTTCGAGAAGCTAAGGATGATCGCCAAGGAGATTAGACACGTGGTGCGGTTGACCTCAGCCAACATGGACCCTGCCCTCATGTTCAGACAGAGGTTGGTTGTTTTTGATACCAAGAGTCCGCAAAACCTTTTATTCTCAAGATTTTAGACCAATTTTGCTTTGACTTGATGCTGTTGGGGCTAGTTTCACAGATTCGGGTCACTTAAAACCTTTGTGTGGGGGCTATAATTTGCTTAATTAGCTATATCACAAAAGTGTCACATCCAAAAAAGCCAGGAAAACTGAGAACTTTAGAGGCTAATATCATGAAAATGTACATTTTGTAGCTTTTATTAAAGAAAATATATTGTTATTGGGAGCCTGAGGTAGATTTTGTGGCTCAGAAATCATCATCAATGACCAGGTAAGTTGCATAGTGAGACAGTCTTCAATTAATATACTGTGAACAAATATGTACATTTGTTTCAGTTTAGTAAGTGATAACAAATCATCAACTCCCTTCAAATATGAGTATTTTTGAAACTGACTCTTCCTCTTTTCCGTCAGCCATACTCAAAACTGTCACTTCTCAGAAAGAGGAATACAAAGCAGAGTGCAGTACAGCAAAGTAGATTACAGGGTTTAGAAAAGACTGCAGAAGATTACAAATAGAAGCAAAAAGGGAACCACTGTGCACCATACCTCCACCAGCCAACCTGGATCCTTCACTGACAGGATCAGGCACACACTCAAGGTCTGGTTTAATCCATTCCCATTCACTTCTTGTCCAGTTCATGGCTCTTGTTGGTTCGATTGCATCCCTTTGCTGGAATGTAACGGTGCGAGGACACAAAGCATGGATTGACTGGAAGTGAGGTAGAATTGATACCAACCGCAGTGTGTAGTTTGTACCACTCAATTTGTGTGTGCTATCACAGTCTGTCACTGCTGCAGTGCATGACTGCCCCCTGCAGGCACTCCCTTCATACTACAAACTCAAGATGTCAGAGATGATATTTTACACGACTTCAAGACTTTTCTTTTAAAAATCTTGTATTGACATTGTATCGTATGTGACAAATATTTTTCAAAAACCCCAAAAAGGTGACACAACAACTTGTTTTCCTGAGTGTGTGATGCACAAGGCCATAACACATACTCTTTAGGTTGATATGGGGAGATGTCATATGTCTGGTGTCCTCCCATCTCCAATCATGTCCTGTTTGTTTGTTGTGGCATGACCTCTACATAGTCTTGTCCACCCCAACCCCTGAACTTGTCTTTAAGTCACGCTTCAATCTTCACGCCTCTTGCTTGCAGGAAGAAGAGGTGGAAGAGTTTAGGGTAAGTTTGTCCTGGTACCGGTTTCATCCTGTTTCAGTCTGGACCAGCAGAAATTAAATCCACCCTGCATCCCCACCACCCTAAGCTCTGCATGCCCCCCCCCCTTGAGTGTACATGCGTGTCTGCCTGGGCTTGTCTGTGATTAACCCTTCCATTTGCAGTGCCCATTCACCTGAACCACTCTGAAGTCCATCATTGACCCATTAATTGTTTGCCCTGTTCATAAGATTGTATGTTTGAGTCATATAGTAGCTTAAAATGATATGTAGCATTTGTTTTGACCAAGAGGTTCTAAACACATTCACATAGTGATTGTTGTGGTGTTAAAGAAAGGTGTCTTTTCTTGGGCCAAGAAGGAGAACATAAGACAACTCAACTTCACAGTTAATAAGCTGGTTAATAAGTTGGTTAATAAGTAAGTCCCAGAGTGATTGCACATAATATGATGTATAATTGATAATTAAATCAAATTTAAAAAGCAAAACAATTTAACCTCAAGGCCCATTTAGTATCTGTTCAGGGGCTTTGGATCATATCAAATGATCCCCATCAGCAGATGGAATTTGCCCATTCACAATGGAACTGTAGATGTTCAGGTTTTAGTTTTTTCAGAGCAGTTTGAAGACTTCTCGTCCACACTGGCTTAAAACCTCAAGGTTTAAAGTTTCAACTTGACCTGACAAAATAAAGCAAATATTAACAGATACTATTTGACTCAGGTTTGGTGTTTTTTCATATCTGCATCCTGGCATAATATTCCCCATATCGAATCTTGTGCATCTTTTGTTTCCTAACCCTTTTTGCCTCCATCTGACAGAATGTTCTGCTGTTCTGTACTGTGATAGCATGGCACACCAGCGAGAACTGCCTCCCTCCCAGTTGCATGGTCCTGTTTTAAAATGCTATGCTCCAACACAAAGACAGATGTACAGATTTTATAGTAGAAGAGGTATTTGGTGTAGGTAGTTGTGCCTGTTTTATTGGTGATTGGACTGATGTTGTTTACCATTCTTTCCTTCCCTCGTTCAATCTGCCTTTTTGTTTTCTGTCTTTCGACTTTCACGTGCATTTCTTCTGTTCCTGTCTTATCATCTTCATTTATCTCCCTTTATCCTCTACTTCATCTTTGTCAATCTTTCATCTTCTGCTCATCCATCAACATTTTATCTCTTCCTCTCACCTCTTAAAATTCCCTCCTCATCTTCTCCATCTCTTACTGTTTTCTTCATCTCTTATCTTTCTTCTCCTTCTTCATTTTCTTCCTCTCATCTCCTCTTATTCTGTCATTTTTTATCCTCCTCCTTTTCCTTCCTTCTCTCCCCTCTCCCTCATTAGGTCTTTGAGTCAGGGCAGCACAAACTCCAACATGCTGGATGTGCAGGGCGGCGCCCATAAGAAGCGAGTACGCCGCAGCTCGCTTCTCAACGCCAAGAAGCTGTACGAAGACGCTCAGATGGCCAGAAAGGTGAAACAGTACCTGTCCAACCTGACGGTGGAGTCAGATGAGGAGAAACACCAAATCATGTCCCTGCAGTGTGAGCCATCCTACAGCACCTGTGAGTAACACTGAAACTGAGACTACTTTTTCATCATTGCCTTAAATGTTTATATACTCTCTGAGGCATAAGTAAATGTAGATGAGCCTGAAATATATATTTCTATGTCAGTAGATTGACCCTGTACCTGATAGAGAGTAAAAACAGTAAAAAATAAAATAAAAAGTACATCAGTTGGAATTATTGAAAGCATTGTTCTACATATTTTGTATGTACTTTTTTATGTTGGTAACTGTAGAAAATTTTATTTATTTAATCTTGAGATCTATAATATCAGCAGATGATAACTGATTTGACAATATATACTGTACTATATACAATATCCATTTGTATTATTGGCTTTCACTGCCACCTAGTGTATTTGCAGCTGTCCTGCAGAAAATAACAGGGATCACTTGATCAATCAGTACATATATAGTGCAGCATGTATTGTATCATCCAAACACACAATGCTATATCATGTTTTCTTAGCGGTTAAGCATAACCTCAATGTGTAATTTTTTTAAATTGAGCCTGAGTCATTGTGCTAAAATTCCTTTTTTGGCTCATCTGAACTGTATCACTGCATAACAGTGCGTAATTGGTTCATCACAGCAGTCAGAGAAATATTTGGCCACAATATTAATCCAATCCTTCATCATATTATTACTGTGACATTGTCAAGAAATAGCAGTATGTTTAAGTATGATACTTTTATCAGTTTTGAATGTCATAATCTTGCATTTTATGACGGCAAGACAGATCTACTGTATGGTTTCTGTCTAGGTCTGTGAAAAACCTGTGATGTAATTTTAAAAATCAAATTCAGGTAGATCTTGAGAGGTTTCTCAGTTCTGGTATACATAAAAGTAAAGCTCACTGTCTTTTATTATATTATTGTAATATTTGTTCTGTGTATCTACTTGAGAGAAGTATTACTACTAACATATGTCACACTGAATAGTTAAACTGAACTTCTTCAGAACATTCAAAATGGAAGATGTTTTGATGATTCTTCTACTTGTGGTTGTAGTGTCTAAAAACTTGAGCGAGAGACGATCCACCAAGTCGGACATGTCTCCAGTGTCTCTGCGGTCAGCTCTGCCCTCGGGGAAAACACAAAACAGGGTGTCACAAGTCCTTCAGGTCCAGGTCCCACTGAACCCTCTACGAAAGAAGAGCACTGCCAAGGACATAGGCACACCTAGTCAGTAAACCTGTATTATACTGTATAACATCATTATACTTATTTATTCAGATTTCATTTTTAGATTACTTTTTACTTCATTTTGTTTAGAATTTCATTTAAATTGTGTCAACTTCAAACATATATTTCCCAATTCTGTATTACTAAAGATGTATAACAGACTCCCAGGATAATCTACTTTTCTGTAACCCTTTTCTCTCTTGTTTTTCTTCTCCAGACTCCAACTCTCCCCAGGTGGTGAAGAAACCTCCAATGAACTCATCAGAGGAGTGGAGCACCAAGAGACCATCTGATGACACCGTCTCCACCATTTCCTCCCTTCACTCCAGCCCCACAGTGTCGCCGCAGGGCTCCCCGCGCAAAGGTGTGCTCCAGAAACCGTGCTTTTCACCCTGTATGCTTCTATCCAAGGAAGGTTACATGAGGAGGAGCCACAGAGTAGATCTAGGGAAACAGTCACTTCCAAGCAGTGTTGAGTTATTCAGAAACCACATCTGGGGTGAATACTTATACATGTAAAGTAGAAGTTAACTATGGTCAATTTACACTTTTCCTTCCTTAACTGCTTTTAGGATTGCATATTTTTTGCTATAAATAATAACTGGGGTAGTCGCTTTGTCCTGAAGGCACCCTGTGACTTAAATCTCCAGTCATCTTTTTGTTTAAATAAGATTGCCAGACAATGCCCAGCATAAGTTATATAAATAAAAATCCCTTTCTTTTCAGTGGGAGGCGTGGCCAAGTCCCAGAACTCCAGCCAGATGAACTTGTCGGGATCTTCGTCGTCACTGACCAGCGATGCCAGCACAAAGGCCGGCAGTGTCAGCCTGCGCAGCTACGGCATAGGTGGGGCTCTCCTCCACAAAAGAATCCTACTGATGACCAGGCAGCACAGCCGAGAGAGTAGCAGGGAGAGAGAGAATCAGACTGAGGAGGAGGAGGAGAAAGGAAGTGAAGTGAAAAAGGAAAAAGAGGAGACGGAGGAAGTTCAGAGAGGGAGATCCAGGCAGCAGAAAGACCAGGGTGCACAGGTAGATTCAGGGCTAATGTCACAGAGGGTTAGAGCAGGAAGGACAGGTATGCGTGTGGTGCACCCCATGACCCACACTGGGTCTCCTCCCAGTCTACCAGGATTGGCACCCATGACTCTGTCACCTCTCTCCCAGCCCCAGTCAATGAGACCCAAACTTCCAGAGTCCCCCATCAGGACGAGACTGCTGTCACCATTCAGGATACTGAGGGAAAGGAGTCAGTCCAGGGAGAGGCCGATTGCAGTCAGGCCACATCTGAACAGTGGGGAGGGAATGGGGAAGGCTGTGCCCCCCTCACCTCAGGATATGAGACAAGGACAGGCAGAGAAGAGAGCCAGGAGGTCGGCGAGCCCAAACCCCTTCCTTTGGCTCTGCAGGGACAGACACACCAGGAGAAAGACTGTCTGACAGAGATAGCTGATTATTTGCCGAGTAAAAACAAGGAATTGGAGATAAAATGAAAGAAAAAATTAAGTTAGTTGTATTTCAGTGAGAATTTCTGTCAGAGGTTGATGATAAATTACATTAATTGAGAATCCATCACAAAGGATAGCCTGTTAAAGTGATAGCACTACATTTTGTTTTGGAAGCACTAAAGCAAGAGTTAGTCTCATATCCACCATGAGTCATAAAATGGTGACGTGAGAAAGAGTTTTCCCAGCAAACGTTCCAAGCAGATAAGAGAAAAATAGATCTTGCTTGTGGCAGTAACAACAAATGGAAAATCATTTCAGTTTGTTCTCTGATTTCTCCTTTGTTCGTGGGAATAATGCAATAATGTTGCAATGTCACTGAACAGCCAAATGTAGCAGAATATGTCACTGTCAAAGCAGAAAACTTATTAACCAAAACGTTTTGATCCCAAAATGAAGGATATTTTGTCGTTATGAAGCATTTTTCCGCTGAGATCCAATTTCGAAATTCCTTTTCACAAGAAAAAGATGAATTTGTCATTCCTTTTGTTGGTGTCAAGTGTAGGTTTTGATATGCGACTTTCTTCTGCGGCATACAGAATTGTATCGCCACGTTCCTTTAAATATCCGTTAGTTAGAAATGATTTGGTTCAGCAGGTTTTTGAGTATATGAAGTTTAAACTGTGACCTCTGTAACAGTTGTACACTGTAAACAGTCCTTTACAGTCATTTCAACACAGTTCTGAGGCCCTGTTCACATTTCACTTCAAATTTTAGAAGCGGCCTTAACTTCACAGCGTCCATTTGCTGTACTGTGTAAGTGTTGATGAAAAGTATTGTACATGACATAGAGACTGATGAGTATTTCTGGATTAACAGTGTTATTTTTAAGTATTTGCTATTAAAAAGGGAACACAAACTTCAGATTCAGTCTCCCCATATTCTCACATCAGTATGGATTCTTATTTTTTTGGTCACCTTCTGGATGCAGGGTGATTTTGAAGTGCAGTGACTATCCAACATTGCCTAAAAAAAATGATAGAAAAGATGACCAGTTGGGTAGAGCTACACACTACCACTGCCAGGGTTTTTCTCAAAATAATTGTAATATAATCTACATTCATGCTACTGGAATGTGCTTTTAGAAAAAAAGGCTATTTACTGCTGGCCATTTTTCTTTCTCTACTTTATCTTTTCATTTATTTTCTAATGTTGCATCTGTCACTTTCCATCCTTGTCCCTTCCCCATTTTGCATTTTCTTCATTATTATAATCTGTATTTTACTTCATGTTCAAATGTAAATGTTCTCAATGTTGCTCCAGGTTACACCCTCCTACCAGCCGGTAAAGCAGACAACCTGTCGGACTCAAGTCACAGCGAGATCTCCTCCCGCTCCAGTATCTGTTCAGTTGACTCTGTGCCTGCTCCTGGGCTCGAAGACCGGTGTACTAGCAGCAACAGGACCTGTACTACTACTTCTGCTAGTACTACTGCATCCACTACTACGACAGCTGCTGCGGTTCCTGAGAGTTCAGCAGCAACACACGCACACTTAAATGTTGATTATAACCAGCCCAGCACAAGGTAATTAACTTCAGTTCAATTCATTTAATCTAATCTGTCTGGTTTAGTTCATTAACTTAAGTTAAAAAGCGAGCATCAAACAGTTTCCTATGTGCTGTCTTGGAGTTTTTCCAGTTTCACAACAAAAAGTTTTTCACAAAATGGCAACAAGGGGGAGACCTGGTTTCCCTAGCTGAATTTCTCCCAGGAACTATTTCTTGGTCATGTATATATGTAAGCTGGTTTCTAATCATCTCTGTACATGTACTTGCGTTCATAAGAATAGACTGCAGACAGTGAAAGTAGTGCTGTGACAGGAGAGCATCACAGAAATGAAAGGAAAAGATTATTACTGCTATAAATCCTCACATTCTCTATACTTAAGTCAGACTAAAAGTTGACCCAATGTAGCCTCTAGAAGTCTAAATATATTGTTTTTCCCCACTGAACACTTTGTAAAACTCAGAACTGTTCATGCTTTGAGGAAAAACTGTGCTCTCACTACAGAGCCACTCACTGTGCTGTCAACTCTCAACACAAAAGTCCGTAAGCAGACGTTTGCAAACCAATGGAAAATTTGATGCATTCCATTTCCCAGGCTCTATCTGGATATTTTATTTGGATAAAAACTCATAAGCCAGTCTCTAAACGCTTCGCTCTCTAATTGTCTGGTATCGCAAGACTAACCTTATTTAGATGGGATCGCAATGCGGGCACAACTGAGCTAACGAGAACACATTTTAATACTGAATGGCGATTAGGCTATGCTTTTACAGAAAGAAAGGGACTAGTATCTGCAGTTGTTAAATACATGTAGCTCATTAAACAAAAATATCAGTTTGGCCATACAAAGGTAGACCAGCAAAGAAGAATCACCTGTAACAAGACACCTTTCTTTCTCTTAAAGTCTCAAATTTTTCCTTCAGTCTGTGTTAACATTCAATTAACAAGCTATCTATCTATCACTGAGCAGATGAAACCCAGAAACAGTAAGTGCAGCACTCTATATAAAAAAGGCTTCTAAAATGCAAAGCCTCCCTCTGGACTGAATTTAAATTATAAGAGGTCCTGCCAGTCCACTTAAAAACAGTAGGTTATTGTTTCTGTAATTATTACCAGGGTGGAGGTGAAAATTATAGACCTACCCGCCCCGAATTGGATTAAAATCACTGACCAGCTCAGCACAAACAATGAAAGCACCCCACCTCCTCTGGAGAAATAAATCTTGTCCTCCAAATGGGGCTTAACTAGCTTGAGGACATGAAGTTGTAGGATTCAAAAACTGCACTACTTATCAGAATGGAGATTCTTTTTTACAGTGTACAAATTAAGTCTTCTAAACAAACACCTTTTAATGTGTTTATTTAGATCCCTTTTAGCTCATATTCTACCCCGAAAAATTAATTGGTATGAGAGCAAATATTGTTTTCCGAGCCATGACTCAAGCCTTGAACTACCAGGATGCGCTCACACACAAACACTTCATTATCAACATGAGCAAAAGGGCACCACACGTACATGGTCTGCTACCTCCAGCCACTCTTCCATTCCCTCTCCCAGCTGGTTTCCAATTATGTCCTTTCCTCATTAAAACTCAGAGAACAGGAAGTCGTAAAACGCGGCAGGTTTTTATTAGCGTCGCACATTTACTGCCCTCCCCTCTCCTCCTCTCCTCAGTTAACAACGTATCGGCTTTCACGCAGGCGGCTTTTTAATCTGGCCGAGTAAACAACGCACCTTTTTTATTTTCTGCTGTTTGTTTATTGTTCCTCCATGATCAGGCCATTCTGCCTCACAAAGTGGAGACTATAAAATATCACCGGACGCAATAATCTGTCTGCTTCTCTGATGTTATATTACTTCGGCAGCCTTGCCATATAACACCCGCCTGTTTTATGAAATATGGCTCAGTTTCATTTAGTGGCTTGTTTGTCCAGTAAAACCATGTCCGTGAATCAAACTGCTGCTTTATGAAAAGCAGCTGAGGAGAAAAACTTTTTTAAAGCCAAGCATATTGCTCTATCATGAAGGAAAACATTTTTTTGTGTGCAGATGAGGCATTAACGTTGATGGCCGAACGTTTACAGTAACTGTATTTTATAGGTTAGACAACGAAAAACTTTTTAAAAATCTGTACAATAACTTATCTGGCGACATTTTGGTTGAAAGTTGAAGATCATCTGTGTAACATTGAACTTCATCCTGTTTTCGATTGTTGGTATTTTGACTCTGACCCACATGTCCTCCAGCCAACAGCTTTTTATAGTTATTGAACCTTCTTCTTTGCCCTCTTCTCTCTCTTCCTTGTCAGTTCATTTCAGTACAACTTACCTTACACCTTTACACTTTTCACACTTTTCACTTTCCTTCTTTTATAGTTTTAGGGTAGGTTTGCAGTTTCTCTTTTTCTTAACAAGTCTTTGCCTCATGTACTCTCACACTATATCTACATATCCTAATGAATGTTTACATACCGTACATTAGTATTCTGGTTTTGAATCTTAGCCTGGCTTTGAAGTGATCGTATGAAACATGAGAAACCTGGTTATTCGGCTCCTTGCATACATGATTTTAATTAGTATCAAGGATTTCAGTTCATCTGCGTGATGGTGTGTCTTTGACTCTTCGACATTTCATTGCTGACTGAGTTAACGGATACCTAAAAAGAATCTCTGCACATTTAAATGTGTGACAGGTTCATGAAAGGGACGTACAACTTGAATGAAAAGTGGAAAAAGCTGTCTTGCTTAGTGCTGGTGTATTTATTTACAACAGTCTTCATCACTTACATAGACCACAATAATCTAATGAGTTGGTTAAACACTCATTAGATAAACACAGAAAGCACACATTGTCATCTGCGTAATAAAGTAATTATTTCCTTAAAAAATCTGACTATCCAAATATAGTTTTCTCATTCTTTGGGTTGTCTGTGGGTTGCTATATAGATGTTGTTGTTTTATGTAGATGAAATTGTAAGATTTGGATTTAGATTTGTAAATCCAGTTAATTTTCACCCTTTAATGTTTTCACTGTCTCTTTAATCTACAGTAGTTCCTCGTCATTGGTTCGAGGATACGTACCACGAGCCTCCACCTTCACCTCCTCCACCTCGACCGAGGAGCTGACCCCGGACCACACCTCTTTGGACTCCGTGGCTGACAGCGGCCGTGGCAGCTGGACATCCTGTTCCTCCAACTCCCACGACTCCTTCCAGAGCCTCCCCACCTCCTCCTGCCGGCCCTGGGACCACGGCATCCACGGGCATCCGCTCTCCCTCCCGCACACACACCTGGGAGGCTTCAAGCACACGCAGCTGACCGGGCCGATAGCAGAGGTCGAGGCCGGTGCTCAAGCGTGGGCGAGCGAGGACTCCGCCGCCAAGCAACACTCCAGAAACTCCAGCTCTGATCTGTCCAATCAGTCTCGGCAGAGCTGGGCGTCGTCCAGCTCACTGTCGGACACCTACGAGGGGAATTACGGGACGATAAAGCGGCGAAACACCTCGGAGAACCCCTCCTCGCCAACCAACGAGGAAGGAGGGCAAAGCACAGACCCTGTCTACAAAACGGTGACGTCAAGCACAGAGAAGGGCCTGATAGGTGAGGGGTCAGGTTGCGAGTTTGATTCCCTGTAAACACACTGTGACAGTGGTCAACTGTCGCTACGTGTGTCTGTTGTCTGAATAGTTACAGTAGAAAATAGTCTTCCCCATTACACCATCACACAGTAAATTAAGTAAAGTCTGCTGTTTTTAGGTGAATTACTGCCGCTTTCTGTTGCTTGACTTGCTGTTACGGGCTAGTGAACAGCTGGCAAATGCTGCACTTCTGCATTTCTTAGATCTTGGGCTGAGAGCCCAAACAGATCTCATTCTTGTCGCTTTTGGCTCTCAATCTGGCAGGAATTATGGAGTATCATCATTAGCCAGAGCGTTAATTTGTCTTTTGGATCTTCTGCTGTAGTTTCATGGTAAACTAAAAGACTATGCAGTTTATTGGATTTATGAAGGTAACAAAACTTTTTTGGCTTAGGAGTTGTAGAGTAGTGGAAGAGGAGTCAATTAATCTACTAGTAGAGCAGCAGAAAATTACTTGACAAACATTTTTGATAATCGATCAATCGTTCAAGTCAGTCATTCTCTGCCCTTTTTTCTCTGTTTTACATGTAAATTGAATATCTTTAGGTTTTGGACTGTTAGCCAGACAAAACAACTAATCTGAAGTCGTCACCTTGGGCACCTTTTTCACTATTTTCTGAACCAAACGATTAATCGATTAATCTGATAAACAATTAATAAAGATTTTAGTTGCAGCTCTAGTTTTGTCTGTATCCGTTGCAACCATCCATCCCATCGGTTATATATATTTTTTTTTTAATTTCCAACACGTTTTGACGCATGTTTAGGTGTGCATTGTGTTTGTGAGACATCACATTGATTTAATTTTTCCATTATTTTCCTTTGTTTCTCCCCTCCTCACACAACTCCCCACACACCTCCTTTTCCGGCGACTTCTTCACCCTGGTCACTCCTCATCCCTTGCTCCCCTCCTCCTTTCCTCCATCCCTCCTTTTTTTTGACCTACACCTCCATCCAGTGTACTGTGTCACCTCCCCCGCCAAGGATGAGCGTTACCGAGCTCCCCCTCCCACCCCTCCAGGCTACCAGGGTCTGGCTCTAGGGGATCTCGGCCTCCCAGATGGAGTAGTAGGTGGGCCAGGAGGTATCAGACCTCACCTCAGACCTCCAGACTACAGCGTGGCCCTCCAGAGGAGCAAACTCTTGCAGAGCCCTGGAGCGGCCGGCAGTCTGGCTGAGGCACGGAGGCTGGCTGCTAACCATCAGCTCCACCACCAAGAGGCTCGGACAGGGGGCTCCATGCAGGGCCACTCCAGACCGCCCAGTATCTGTGTCCCACCACAGGAGCTGGCTGACATTGAGGATGGTACGTCCCACAGGATGGTGAAAAACTTACTAAAACGGAAAATACAAGGGATTTTTCATTAAACAAAATAGCCCTTTTCTTACCTAGTCATTCTAGTTAGGATTTACTTCCATAGCACGTTCATGCTATGTGTCAAATTAGTGTCTCAAGTCTAAAACCAAAGGGAAAAGAGAAATATGACTCCACTTTACCCCTTAATGTCTGACATGATCTGAGATTGTTTTTACTGTCAGATAGTTTCATACAATGTCCTCAGGTGTCGGTGATTTTTATTTTGCAAAAAAATAAACAAAAAAAACAATAGTAGTGAAATTTAGATGTTAGGAATACCATCTGCAATACATTCCTTCTGCAGTGATTGTGAATTGGACATTATTAAAGGGAGTAGAGTGTTTTGGTGGTAATTGGAAAAAATGGTCCACAAACAATAAAATAATCTCATATCAGGGTATCTGCAGGTGTTGAAAAGTAGCACTGAAAGCATTGAATTTACAAATTCATGCAGTACTGTGAAGAAAATGTGATATAATAAATAATTCCAGGCCATATCGTCCCTGCGGGTTTTCCACCATTCCTTGATCGTGAAACAAACAGGTATTCGATTGCATTCTATGTGGTATTAGAAGGATCTTAAAAAGTCTGAAATGAATCAAACATTGTCCTTTCTTCCTTTTTTCCAGATGAACAAGTGTCGGCGGTGTAGAGACGTGACCTCACACTCACACATGCACATATTCTCACACACGGACCAAGTCGTGTTGATTGGGCTTTTGGACTAAGCTAGCAGCCTGCCATCATCACGTATCAGAGCACATTCTCCAAACACCCCCCCCCCCCGCCCAAAGCCCTGTGTGACATCGCCATGGACCATAATGCACCTGCGGACCAGAGCAGTGTGTCACGTCACCTCACTCCGCCTCCCAGGACTTGTACAATCATCTCTTTTTAAACCCATTTCACAAAACAAAGAAGAAAAGAAAGATTTTAGATAGTTTTTAAAAACTTTTGAACAAAGGAAAAAAAAGACAGTGTGATGGAGTCACATCGCTGTAGATGGCCGTAAATATAAAGGACAAATTAAAGAAGGAAAGAGTGACAATAACAATGTCTCATGAGAAGAAGTCAGCCTCCTTGGAAACAGACCACCATGTACCTCCATTTTGCGCTCCAAGCTCTCTTGTCTAAAGGTGTTTCACGTTGTTTTTTACAGTTTGAACATGTTGTACAGTGATTTTTTTTTTTTTTTGTAAAAGCATTTTTTTCTTCTTTTCATTTGCATCTCTGAGCTTTGTAAAGTTTTTATGTGAGAATAGTGAGGTGGAGCAGACAAAGGGGATAGAAAGATGTAGTCAGTAGTGTGAGTATTATAAATCACTCGTGGGGGATTTTTGTTTTTGTGTTTGCTGTCAGCTCAAAAGAAGATGAATGTACATAAACAAGAGACAGGAAACATTTTGGCCTCTATCAAACCCTGGCACTGATGATGTAAATTTACACAAATAACATCAGTTCCAACGAAAAATAAACCAAATGCACAAGAAAACAGCTACGAAACCAACTTTATTAATCCGGATACTTAGACTTTTGACTGTGTTTGAGGTAAGGAAAGCCCTCAGGAGCCACATAGAGCCCCTCAACATATTATTCACTCCTCTTTCTAAAAGAGAAATTAAACTCCTGAAGTAAGAGAGAGCCTGTGTCTGTTACTGGACATTGCGGAGCTTTATAGATGGAAAAAAAGTATCACTCAGGCAGTTCTCTCTGTCTTCATGTCGCGCTCTCCACCACCCAGTCACCTCTCTTATTGCTCGTTCAGTCTGATGCGAGGTACTTTAGCGGCATGCTGCCTCCTGGATGTTCCATAAAAAACTGTATTATAACTTGTTTTTAATGAGCTGAAGAACAAATGCCTCGCTGCTTCCTGTAGAGTAAAAACGTGTGTCGTTATTCTATTGCAGCAGCTATAATAAAACGATAAATTAGCACTGTGTGGCCACACAACGTGCATGCATTTACACACACACACACACACACACCAAAATCTTAGTTGGTGTGCATAAAGACAAAGGACAGTGTTTACACCGAAGCTTACACGTTTTGTTTACAGTGTTTATTAGACTAGTTGTCTATTGAATTACAAGCTGAAATGTTAAAGTATAATGCTCCAGGTTCATTTGACCTTGTAAATTTGTTTATATTGCAGCAGGAATATGAGATGCAGCATAAAATTTGACTATGTGCTCGCAGTGTACCTCTCGTATCGGTTTTTTGCTTCTTATTTAAAAAGAACGAGCAACAAAACAAGTCAAAAGATAATGTATTTTAATGCCTGGCTTGCATCTCCATTCCATGTTCATAGTACATTTTGTAGAATATTTAAAGGATTTGCTTGAAAATTGTTTATTTGTATTGAAAACGGAAGCAAATTTGTACATTCTGAGAAATGTTTTGGAAACGGAAAAATTTCTTTTTAATTGTGTTTTATCTGCAGTGCAGCAGGGGTGTAACTGGAATTAGACGTTCTTCTGCTTTCTGTCTCGCGCTCTGTGATGCTTCTTTCATATTGTTTTGCCACACAAAGACTTGAAATGATTAATGCTAATATATACATGGCATATATATGAATTTATACATATATATTTTTGTTGTTTCTTTGCCATAAATTAATGTATAGATGAGAGAAGAGAGTCCTCTATAAAGGCTATTTTTGAATATTTTGTTATAAGAAATAATCCAAGGTTGTGATTGCCCTGTTTCTGTCTTTGGGCAGGAGTCTTTTAAGGAATTAGTTCTTGTCATTGTTCATGACTTGTTTTCTCCTCTCACACTCTGTTGTTGGTGCCATTTCTGCTCTGTCTATAGTTGTAATTGCTGCTGTGGTTTGGGATATGACTGTGTGTGTGTGTGTGTGTGTGTGTGTGTGTGTGTGTGTGTGTTGAGGAATTATATTTGCAAAATAGCGATCAACATAGCATTTTTTAAAATCCAAATTTGGATCAGTCTTGGCGTTCAGCACATAAGAAAAAGGCTCAGAAGTCAGTTTCAATAAAAGCCCTTCTTAGTTCGCATCTTTGATCGCTCCTGCCTGCAGAGAAGTGGGGCCCTTTGGGATCGGTTTCATGGCACGAGGCAAGTTCATTCAAACTCAGACTGGGTGATTGAAAGGAGGTTTTTTTTGATGCTATAAATCATCATTTGAATTGAACAGAACAAGCCCCGTCACGATGCCATCTCTAATACCGTCTCTCAGCCCTATCATCTCAGCGGCACTATAGACTTTCAACCTCACTGTACTCGTCTGATGGATTTCCCTGAATCCACTGTGACCCTCCCCCTTTTTTTCATTTTTAAAATAATCTCAATGATAGACAACTTTGAAACAGACTGAGAGTCAGAAACTGACAATTCCTCTCTTTGTTTTTGCACAACTGTATTCCTCAGATTATTAACCATAAATCAGTATTAATGTTCTGCATGGGTGATTTAAAAAAAAAAAAAAAAAATAGAAGCATATAAGAGTAGGCCCAGATGTTATAAATGGCACCGATTTTCTTCAGAGGATGTTATATATATTTTTACCTGCTTTGAAATGTTGGATTGAGAGCGAAACAGCAGGCGCGTTGGTCTTTCCATCAAGGTTGTTTCCTAGCGTGAGCTCTATAAGCACTCCAAGACAAGATGCTACATTTTATTTTTACTTAGTTTTTATTTCAGGGCTAAATTTTCATTTAGCAGTAACCACCTCTTCTCCTACTCTGCATACAGTAGATATTTTTTCATGGAGGATCTGGCAGTGAGCAGCTCTTGGCACTGTGAACAAAACATGTCAATGTTTTTAACAACAAAACCGCAGAGGATGAACATCCCCTCTCTCACAGCTTGATGAAATGATCTGGCTGATTGTGATTTTAGCCCCCTCGTGTCCTGCCGTGTTACCTGGAATGCAATAAGAGAGATGTGAATGTGTTTTATGTAGACATCTTTTGGCATTACAGCAGAAATGCACAACAATAAGCTTAAACGTGGTGAGTGTGCTGCACAATCTGTACAAAGAGGTATTAACTTGGTCTGTGGCTTAAAGTTTGCTTTCGTCTCACACTTCTCATAGCTGTTGTAACTTATGTCTTTTAGAAAGACAACATGATTTTGCTCGTACGCTTTTTATGTATTTTTTACGAGTGATTGTAAATAGTTGTTATATTTTTGTTTAAGAGAATGTTTAAAAAGGAAAAAAATACCTTTTATTTCTCCAAGTCTACTGATATGAATTTGGACAATGAATAAAATGTTAAGCAGAAACAGTTTTGTGTCTTTATTCATGCTTGATATCTGGTTAGTTCTCTAAATCAAACCTGGGGGTATTTAAATTTGACTTTTCTCTATATTTTTAGCTTTTTCATTGTTAGAATTATGTTTTTACCTCTTCAGGCTTCTAAAATGATGAAAAGGAATTCATTATTATTATTTTTTTTTCACATACATTCATGGTTCCCAGAAGATAAATCCTGTTGACTTTGGCACCCACAAACATTCAAACCATTCAAGCCTGCACAATTGACATTTTGTCTTGTTTTTTTTTCATTAAAACCGGCTTTAATATTCTTTCTTTGCAGTTTATTTTTTGACTGCCTGCTCCTGCCTGCAGCAAAGTCCGCTGGGTCCTGCAGGATTCAATTCCAATGCAGTCATCTAAACTACAGCTCTAATGTGCTCAAGACCTATCAGTAAAGGCAGCCACTGCTCACTGTCAAAAACCATCTTCTCAGTGCTGCAGCAGTCAACCAGCATTTTGTTTTTTTAATTCAAACATTTTAGAATTGGATGAAAATATCAACATCCTATTGTAACTGCTGCTGCTTCTTCTTTCTGGGAAGGTCATCAGGTTGTGTGGTGGTTCAACAATATCCAACATGTGGCAGTGGCAACATAAATATATAATTATTATTGTGACAAAGACAGGGATTGAAGCATCCCAGTAAGCATGATTTGGTCATTTGCATGTTTAAGTTAAAACCAGGCTAAATCTGGAACATTTTCAGATGTTTCACAACAGTGACAACATTGTTTGAACAGCTTATAGTTACTCAAATGCTGTCCAACCCGCACTGTTATGTAACCTAGATGTCGAAGGAATTATACTCTTCAGCCAGATTTATCCCATTTGGAGGCTGAACATCTTGTTGTCTTTTGACCTGAAACTAACAGGAGGCTTGTGGCCTCTTTGTTTCCACAAACACAGCCAGTATTTTGGGTGTAGTTTCCACTTCCTGACACTTTTGACCAGTAAATCTTCACACAGAAGAGAAGGCGGTTAATCTCTCCTTGTGTTGTTCAGATGTCCTCCGCTTCGTCCTCACCGTCTCTCCGCCTTCTGCTGCGTTCAGCTCTACATCAGATCTGATCAGAGCCGGAGAGTGTCACGCTGTGCTCAAGGTCAGGTTCCTTTTATTACTCATTAAAGGTTTACTGTCACACAGAGGGGCAGGAAGTCACGCTGGTTGCTCTGTCTGTGTGTGTGTGTGAGGAAGAATACACCAGTGTGTGTGTGTGTGTGTACGTGCATCACTGGCTACAATATACTGTAGTATTTGCTGCATGTCTACTGCAGATGCATGTGTGAAGACTGAGCACAAAAACTGTCTGTGAACCACATCTGAAACTTTTTTGTTATGATGATAGCCTTGTTGGTGCATACATACTGAACCTGACTGTCATCATCAGCACACTGTAAACACCAGAAAAGACTCAATTTTTGTAAGTAGTAGTAATAAGTAGAAACCCATAAGTGTAACCTTTAAAGGGTCAATTCACCTGAGTCCTAATAACAAAGCAATCACCCAGAAACAATACTCTGACAAAACAGTCACAACTTAAGGCCCACTTACTAGCTTTTTCCAGAACCTTTTCACACGGTCTTAATCAGCTAATGGAGTTTGCTCAGTTGTAATCCATAGCACTTTTAGAACATCTCCCTCATGTTGGCTTAAAAGTTAGACAGTGCAAGTGATGCAAAGGATGAAATCATAACAGCTACTGACAGATCTATCTTGATAACTCCGGGAAAATGGGGGATTGCCCATTATCCATAGTCCTAAAGATTTCCCATTGGCCCTAAAGCCCATTTGTCTGGCAGCCCATTTTCTTGAAAACAAAAACCTACTGCTCTGAATGCCAGTTTTTCCCAACAACACACACAATTCCTTGAGGTTTGTATTTATTGTGTTTAGGAAAAGATCATGTTTTCGGGTTCCAATGAGTAGTTACGTCAGCTAAGTTACATACGTCGGTTAGTGACTGCAGGGTGTGTACTTTTGCAACGGGTTGCGGGTTGTCGGACAAATGAGCTCTTGGTCCAGTAGGACATTCCTCAGACTGTTGCACTATTGCGCTAGGCACTGATGCAAAATGCTAGTAAGTGGAAATGAAGTTATATTAAGATTTTGTTGTAAAAAAAGAGTATAATAGTGTAAAAAGATATATTTCAATTCAGTTTAATTCAATACAAATTTATTTATCCCTGTAAGGAATTGGGAATTGCATGCAGCAGCTCGCCACCCAGATCAACACATATACATAGCTCATATGAATAAAGAAAAAAATACTCTCACATAACAAAAAATAACATCCTAGGCTATTAAATTAAAAAAATACGGAGCCCCCCTGGTGACATTGGATAAAGAAAATAATGCATGGCCACACATTACTATCTTGTGGGCACAAGATAGTAACGCGTGGGCACGAGATAGTTATTGCAGTCATTTCCATGCAGAGACTGTTGATTGTTAACATGGACAAGTTTGAATTAATTTAATTTTTTTTTAATATAGGAATGAATTACAATGACATACTTCAGTCACTTGCGGTTAGGCATGGAGTAATTCTTAGCAAGAGACACTTAATTAAAATGCATGGACTTAAATGCAAGGAATGCTGATGTCCATGTTAACAATCAACAGTCTCATTGCCACAAGATAATAACGCGTGGCCACGAGATAGCAAGGTGTGGCCACGCATTTTTTTTTTTTTTAATCCAATGTCACCAGGGGGGCTTCGTAGTAATACATAAATACACTGATAAAGAAATAGAAAGATCTGAACAACAATCTAAAAAGATACACAAGGTAATGATGCCACACAAAATAATTCACTAGGAACGGAACAGAGTAGTATAAAGGACCCTAAATGTCTCTGTTATTCTAAATAATCCAAAGAAAATACTGTCAAACAGTTTCTATGGGGACTAGAGACAGAGATTAGCTGCAATTTAAGTGTTCACAGATCTTTTTTTGTGTTAAATATATTTTAGTAAAATTAAAAAGATAAAGTAACACCAGCCACATCTTGACCACACAATTCCAGAAAGTCTGAATGACGTTTAGTAAACTTTTGCTCAATGTGACTTTGATGTTATCTGAACTCCTTCTTAAAGACTCTGTGTTCTTCTCCTGCGATGAAGTTATAAGGATGTGTAATGGAGACGGGTCAGGCTGGAGTAAGGAGTGGGTACGTTAACCAACATGTTCAAAGAGCTGGTCTTTCCACTTCAGAGAGAATATCCCAGAACGATGAGAGAAGTGAAAGTTCGTCTCCGAGTGGAATTCCACTGGAAACGAGTCGAAGAAATTACACAGCTTCAATTATACATCACAAAGGGGCGAAAGAGCCCTACTGGATGCCAGAGGAGGAAATGTGGAAAAATGGGAACGCCTTGGTCTTGTAATATGTGCGTCCTGTATGCGTGTGTGTGTGTGTGTGTGTGTGTGTGTGTGTGTGTGTGTGTGTGTGTGTGTGTGTGTGTGTGTGTGTGTGTGTGTGTGTGTTTGTGTGTGTGCGTGTGTGTGTGTGTGTCGCACCTATCCTCTGTTTTGACTTTGAAGTTGTGACTTTGTCAGGAGCAGAAGCCGAGAGCAGGAGGTGGGAAAACGGAAACTTTACCACCTGAGGGTTGTGCGCACACACGGGGGTTGGCTTTTAGCATATTCCTGTCTAAATGAAAATTTGTAAAGCAAAACAGTTTGGAAAATATTCTGTCACCTGTACAGTCTCAGTGCTGCCCTTGAGCCCACGTGTGTGAGTGTGCATTTGCTCTCACATATATATATACAAATAGTGTGTTTCCTGCGTGTCGTTAACCTTTCGTGTCTTGCTTTCTGCATGTTTAGTTAATAGTTGTCTGTCCTCAAGTATTTCAAACTTTTTTCATGTCTCTCTCTGTTGTCTTTATGTTTTGTTGTTGTACTGTATGCATGACGGAAAGGTTTGTTATTTTTGAGTAACATTAAACAGGTACACCAGCAATCATGCCACCCTCTTGCCACCCCATTAATATTTCTCTAGATCCGCCCCTGGTTAAATGGGGGACAACATGACCTTAACTTTCTGTCCAGGTCAAAGGCCAGTCAGTGATCAACGAGACTGTCTGAGGACATGTGATGTCCAGCAGAGTCATTACTACAGTTCATCTTCTTGTTCTTCACCCACTCTGCCTCGTGTCACATACGGTCATTTGAGTCGTTTTTCACGAAACTTGTGGTCCTTTATCCAGAGTTCCATTAAATATCTTTATGTCTTTGTATTCTTACGTTTCAAGGATTGCAGTGACCAAAATCTATCAGACCAGAAAGCCTGAATGATTTAAATAAAGTTTACCTAAACAAACTATGAAGTCAACTCACTTGTCTGTTTTAATTCCAGTTCTTGATAATCTTATCGTATCTGATGTGAGATTCTGGTTTATTATCAGCTTCTCCTGTTGATTACTTTTCAGATCTTGTCTTGAAAGTGTCAACAAGGTCTCACAGCAGAAGCTTTGTGTTAGTTTCTGAGACACTGGCACTTCTCCTGTTAGCTTGTTAGCAGTTATAGTGCAAGTGTGAGAGTCTCAAAACTATTTTAAATAGAAAAATCCAAAGTTTTTTTTTAAACCAATCCAGTATTTAACAATTATGGTGGTGAAAGTCGGTTTCTGAAATGTTTATGGTTAAGCTATCATGAAGGTTTCACAAATGGAAAAGTGGAAGCTGAACATCTCAGTGATGTTTTTAGATGCTGGATACTTTGGAATAAAACTCTTTATAGTTTGGTCTATAGTTTGGTGTTTGTGTCCAGTTTTATGCTCAGCCATTTGTCACTTGTCCTGGAAAAAATTGTGCAAATGTGCCACTTTTGTTTGTACTGCATGTAAGTGAAGAACAGCTCTTCTTTTTTTTTATCAGTTCTCCTGGACTCCCAAATCTGCCTTCTGGACCATTTGTAGGGCAGGGAGTTACATGTTCGGGTGGCACCCTCCAGGGTCGCTC